ATTTTGATTTTTGAAGCAGTCCATAATTTTATAAAAAGTACCAAAAGGTTTTGATTCGCTTTTACATATTGTTGTATAATATCAAATAATTGCATCAACTATATTTTGTATATACCATTTCCACATGAAACTGTATATATGTCCCGTTTTACAATTTATTATATTTAATCTAACTTTTATGTATATGGTTATATTATATCGTTTATTATTTTCTGTATCCGTGGGAAAGAACTGAAATAGACCTTGCCTGTTGTTCAATCCTTTTCAAATGAATAAAATATTGTTTAAACATAATATGTGCTTTTAGACCATTTTACGTCTATTTTAGGTTCCAAAGAATAGACACATACGCTCTTTATGTATGATCATTCACCATTTTGAACAATGACATTAAAGATTAAAGTAATCATTAATCATAATCACGGTTTTCTGTGGTAATCATAATCTATTTTAAAATTGTAATACTTTGCACATGTAATGTTTAAGTAATAAAAGTAATCATTAATCATAATCATCTTTTATAATACACTCTCGAACAGCAAGTTCTTTTTCCCACCCCGAAACCATCATTTCAGTGTCAGTTTAGTTTCAAAGCCTAATCCGAAAATGACCGTAGACTGTGGACAATTTGGGGGCGATGGGGTTTAACCAAGAAGATTTAATGGACCTTGTTTTTGTGAACCAACGTGGCTATGATGACAAGCAGTGTGTTGTGAGTGCAATGAAGGCGAGGTCTAAAAATTAAGGTCAACTGCAGATTTGGTAAAAGGTCACGAGATGGAAACAGGGCTACCCCTACCCCTAACCCTTACCCCAACCCTAACCCACAATTTCGTCAACAATCACGTGCACTAGCCCTGTTTACATCTCGCGACCTTGACGAAATCTGCAGTTGGGTCTAATTTTTAGTCATTGCCAGAAGGAACATGACAGTGGGGTCTCTGCCTCTCCGTCGAATTTCAACTGTCACATCCAAAAGGCTAGACACTGTTCCTAGCCAGGTCTGCCTGAACTACTGACACGGGAAATTCACTATAAAATCTCTCGGAATCAAAATCGAAACTTCCTGGGCATTGTGCCTAGGCGTACGCGCCCCCTCCCTTTAACTGTTGGGCAATCTGGCTCTTCTTTTAATTGACCCCTCGGACCCCCTTCCTGGATACGCGCCTGATTTGAAGATGTAAGATGTTTCCTTTGGCATGTTCAAAGTGACGGACGCCATAATAGAATGACTAATGGCTGTGTTCAGAAAGATAAGCAGCAATTGTCTAGGAGAGAGATTTACAAATCACTGGCCGGTTATTTAGACAGAAATATATATTCTGTCACGCACATCCTGTCAAAACAAATTAACAAGAGATCATCCATCGTCCTGGTAACGGTTATGTGGAGAAATACTGTCGCAAAGCCAAAAATGAAACAAAACAAGTAAACAATAGTTTATCGTATAGAACTATGACAAACAACTACTGGACATGACTGATTATAATCTCTTTTTTTAAAACGTAACTGAAATATGTTTAGTGACTTTGAAGAATTTGTTTTATTTAAAGGAGCTAAATCGCTAATATTTTGGACCTACAAATTGACACAAATGGGTCGCAACGTATATAATAATGTAATATGAATGTAAATAAACTGATTTACATTCAATCGTTTCCGTTTTTACTCTAATTTCAAAGCAGTTATGTTCGGCGAAATATGCCAGAAGTCTCAATCAAATGGCAATCTCTAGCGACTGGTTATTCCAGTCTACACCGATAGTATTTATTGCTCATGCTCTCCAGATACGAATATGGGGGTCACCGTTTGACATGACTTGTGGAATATGCCTAACCTCGTTCCTCGGGTCGCTTGTTACAAATTGCGCTGAAACGCATTATGGTACACGATTCGTGTACCAATCGTAAAAAGTTTATTTTGTCTTAAATATTGGTTATCAGAAGCCCATTTTTTCCCGGTAAGATCACAACACCAATGTTGATTAATATTGACAAAAAATACGTGTTTTCAATGTCGAAGGTTTTGAATGATACTGAGTTAGAGACCTAGCTACTTTAAATATCGGTAATAAATTACCGTAAGAGGGTACCATTTAAAGTATAGGTAAAGTAACTCAATATCATCCAAAGTCTTCGACATTGAAAACATAAATTATCTGTCAATTTAAATTAACATTGATGCTGTGATCGTACCGAGAAAAGGTGGGCTTCTGATATCTAATATTTAAGACAAAATAAACATTTTACCATTGGTACACGAACCGTGTACCATAATGCGTTTCAGTGCCATTTGTAACAAGAGACTCGAAGAACGAGTCTGGACGTATTCCACGAGTCATGTCCAACGGTGACGGCATATTCTTATCTGGAGACCATGTGCAATAAATAATATCGGTGTAGACTGGAATAACTACACGCTACACGAGATTGCAATTCGATTGAGACTTCTGGCGTATTTCACCGAACTTAACTGATTTGAAATTTATATACAATCATATTGCATTATATATGCGTTGCAACCCATTTCTGTCAATTTCTAGGTCCCAAATATTAGCGATTTAGCTCCTTTAAAACAAAACGTTTGTTATCTGGACCAGTAAGTAATGTTACAAACTATAATTTGTATAGTTATTTTTAAGAATACAACTTTTACAAATGACTTGTCGTCAAATATATGTTTACTCTTTACCATTCTGAACATCAGAGACAGGCTCTGTGGACACGTATGCTACCTACCATTTAGTTTTCGAGAGTTACGTACGACTCTTTATTTGCCCGTGGACAAAGGTGTCACTGGCAGGGCCGATGGTAGAAAATGCGGGGCCCAATTTGGGAGGCCCGAAGTTACAGGATATGAATACATTGCAGGATATGTAAGGCCAAATATGCTCTACGTCAATAATACATGAAAAAGCCACAACTGACAGCCCTGTTGCCAGATTGCCCGAAAATGTTTTAAGTTGGTGAGCTGCGAGCCCCTTTCTAGTGCGGGGCCCAATATGGGAAATGTGCCAAAACCCGGTCCTGGTCACTGGGACCCTTACTTCAACAGTGAAAAGGGTCATATTCTGGCCATTGTTCATCACACTGTATGTCAGTATATATGGTACAATTGTATCTATAACTAATTTGGGGGATCACGTGGCTAAGTGGGTAAGACGCTGGCTCGCTAGCCTGGAGGTTGGGTGTTCGATCCCTGCATTGGCCGAGAAAGTTCATTCAGATTTTCCGGCGGGGTTTCCCCTTGTCAGTGATGCAGGATGGAGGGCCTGACGGATGGGACGAAAAACCGAGGTCCCGTGTACACACTGGCGTGCACGTAAAAGATCCCTTGGCAGTTTGAATTCGATATAAGGGTAGGCCGTAGCGCCGCTGCCCGGACAAAAGTTCCTTCATCGCACACTGTATGGCGTATGCCCGTCTTCATTAGCCCAGGTTAGGAGCAGAACAGTAGGACGTTAAACCCCATTTTATTTAATTTCATAACTAATGGGCCCCCCTTTAATTTTGGGTCCCATGGCTGCAAATGAAACGAAATGGGGTTTAACGTCCTACTGTCCCATTCCTGCAGCAAAACCTCTAACGCCATATCCCAAAAGCGGGTCAATGTCTCGCCCTCACTTAATCTCTTACCGTTAGAAGGATAAATTGGGTCACTCTGTTATGGCTTAAAACTCAAAACATTGATTTTTGCCCGTGGACTTTTTAAAGAGCTGGCTCAGATACAAGTGGTAAAAAATTTGGTGAAAGACTACATTTATTCTGTTCCCGTGGAAATGTATGAAGCCCTGTTCTTTTCTTCTATTATTAGTGTTTAACGCCCGCATCCACCGAGGATGATATCGCAAACAACATGTCTTATTTTGTTATGCAGCATGCTTCGCGCACGGGCAGGGGTCTTTCCTGTGGAAGGAAACCGGAGTACCTGGAGTAAACTCACAAGGTTGAGGGCCAGACAAGGTATAGTGTATAGTCTCGTTCGATGGGACGAAACACCGAAGCCGACCTGTACGCATTGGCGCACGTAAAAGAACCCTTGGCCGTTGGACATTTCGATATAAGAGTAGGCCATAGCGTCTTTGTCCGCTCGAAATTTCCCTCATACATTGTTATGCGTATGTCAGTCTTCATTAGCCCAGTCGGAGCAGAACAGGAGAGAGATAGAGAAATGAGGTTTAACGTCTCGACACAAACTAGGTCATTTCGGGACTAACATATGGTTTTAATTTTATTTCAATAATTCGCTTGCGCGTAGGGGTCTTTAGCCGAGGGGGAAACCCATGAGGTTGGACAGGCGACCTACTCCTTGTCACGTACAAGCGGGGAATCGAAACCACACCACTTGACTTAATGACAGACCCTATGACGCAACGCGCACACCATTCGACCCCCCCACCCCAGCCCCAACGGAATGTGATTTAACGTCTGGTCAGCACAATACTGCAATCAACACGTGGTGTTTTTCATTTCAATGGTTACATACATGTACAATGAGGACACGGGCGGACCGTGATTTTCCACCTACCCGAACCACTAAACACTATTTTCTTGCATCACTGTCATGCATCACTGGCAAGGGGGGACCGCACCGGAAAATTCCATTAAACCTTTTCGGCCAAAACCAAGTCACAGAACAAGGAAAGTTATTAGTTTATACACTGTGTATGTGATTTTAGGCTGAATGCTAGTACAGTATAATTGAATTAAATTCTAGACTAGACATATTAAACTGAGATCTAATTCATCTTAACGGCCCATTTCCATATTACATAGGATCGCCATACAGATGACAAAACTAATAATACGTGTCAATGTCAGGAAGTGATGTCATCTTCCGGTTCTTAATTAAAGTTGATAACCAGTTTAGATCACCCTATTTCATTTCATTTCTAATTTAGCCCAGTTTTAAAGATCAAACTGTTAAAAGACTTTAATTAATCGCAAATAGATGAGACTAAAATAGCGTCTATCCATTTCAATAAATATGACCCATTAACATATAATATAATAAAGATTTTATTACATGAAACTCTGGCACCAGACAGTTATAAAACTGTTTACATATAGTAAAAATAAAACAACTTTAATTTGGATCAAATTATTCTTTTTATCGTTCGATTTAAAACTATAATGTCAATGGTCGCTCTTTTATCAGCCATATTGTTCTGTGGCACGAAAGGTCAATCAACCATTTTGGCTCATAATGACATATCTCTTAATATGGTTGATATTGTACCGAAGGCCATCTTTGATATCCTTATCTTTAAGAGACAGTCGATAGCCATGTTCAGTTTGAAAACCACAGACCGAGATGAAGCATAACCGTCATTTATAGCTTTTTATTATCTCTTGTAAAGTTCTTGAGTTTCATCCTGTCTAACCATTCCATCTTTCATGTCCATTGTATTTTCTTTCTCTAATCACTGCGTCTATTTTCACCTGCGATGTCACTCATCACCAATTCAATGAATCGTTGGACCCAAGATCTGTAGCATTTTGTTTAAAGAGTTTGTACCAGGCCATTGTGTGTAAAGATAAATCCAAACTATCCAACTTAACAACCGCTTCCCCGACAAAAATCTTCCTATCAAATCCTTTGCTTTTTTCCCAAATTGTGACCTGAAAAATGAAAAAAAATGACATTAAATAATACCTCTTTAATCAAAGACTTGTTTTCAAATTATCTGTGAAATGAAATGAAATGAGGTTTAACGTTCTACTGTTCTGCTCCGAACTGGGCTAATGAAGACGGGCATACGTCATACTGTTCATACAGTGTGCTATGAGGGAAATTTGGCCCCGACAGCGGCACTACGGCCTACTCTTATATCGAATTCCAACTGTCAAGGGATTTTTTTACGTGTACGCCAATCCGAACGACTAGACAGCTGTATTATCTTTGTATTGTGACTTTGCGATACTTTATTTAAAGAATCTTTTAGTCACAATTGTTCTTCTTATTGCATAAGATCATCTGATAAAAAGCCTACTATTAACACTGTCAACAACCGCAAAGTGAGGTGGGCGCGCGTTTTCCACTCCTTCTCCCATCATATAGAATCTTTTGCCCTTTTCGACAATCATATTTTTAATGACTCTCTCGTGTCATCGTGTGTACGTGTCTTAAACATACCCTAGGTTGTGCACCATTAGCGTTTATAAATCTCCGAAGTAAAAGAAAATCACAAAGCTAAGCTGATTCTATTGTCATTAGCTTAGATGTTGACGCGATCTTCAATCAGCATGAACAATAACACGTCTCCCATATTAACTTAGTTATACCTCAACAATTCCCATTTGCTAATTTCGTATCCAATTAAATATTAATTTGGATGAAATACATAAACGAAACATTGACTTATCTCCCATATGACTTTATTGATATACTGCGGAAATCCCAGTTGTTAGTTTCGTACCTAATTAATTATTTGGATGAGTGTCCTGGTGGTGACTTTAATGACGTGATACAAAAAAATACACCAGCAATACAAAGAACGAACATTAACATGTTTCCTAAATGAGCTTATAGTTATACTGAGAAAATCCCAGTTGTAAGTTTCGTATCTAATTCCTTTTTTTAAAATTTGGATGAGTTTCCTGATCGTGACATTAATGTCTTATGACATGCTACAAAAGCTCAATCATAAATACAAACAAATATTCCCCATTGAAACCCATTATCATAAATATTATTTTTCCTACAACCAAGATTACAGAACTGTCATTTCATCATTCCGCCGTTTTTACTGAGATGATTAACGGAATAAACTGCACGACAAAAAAAGTCAGAAAAAACCACACGGGACTATGCGCAATAAGCAGATTATAAGTATAATGGTCATATGAGACTTCTGAGGTAAAAGAGTTACGTCACTACAATTCTGATATGAGACTTCTGAGATAAAAGAGTTCCACAGGTGGATTACATTAGTTACGTCACGTCTACTCCATAGAATCCACATAAAGATGCATTATGTAAGCTCTAGATAAAGAGCTGACAGTTCTCACTATAATAGTTAAAAACTAGATAATGAAAAAGGACTACATGTATGTTGATAATTTCAGTCAAATTAATTCACTCTGAGCGGAGTTATAGTCGATTGCAGAACAGTGTTGCCAACATTGTCATCATTGCTATCGTTGTTACGATAATAAACAATGTGTCGATTATCCATTTTTAAATTAAATCATTAACTGTCATCCGTATTTAACTCTACTGAAAATTTAAACATCCGATGACACCATGAGTTGATTATGTTCTTGACAAGTCTAAATGTCTAATTGATAATTTAAATAACATTTGCGGCCTGAAAAACAACTGCAATAGGCAGATGTAGCTCTTGAATAATGCATATTTAAGATGGCAACTTTTACTGACCCTCATACATCTGCCATGAACATTAGAAGCCGAGTATTTGATTTTACTTCTATATTGTGGAATACTGGAAGCTTTAATCAATCTTGTTTTCTTTTTCTGTATGATCTTTCTACCTTCCACCAGATAAGTTTTAATATACGTATCTGAAATTATAATCATTGGGAAGTTATAGGTAGGTGTTTCTAAAAGCTTTTAAATGGACGCGGTAGCCGAGTTGTGTCGAGTTTGAATCTCGAAGTGGGCAGAGAAGAATCTTTGGGTATTTTTCAAACCCAACCTTTAATTGTCAGGGGTTGACCTTGGTGAAGGCTAAGATAGTTTTACTGTTTTGAAGAATAGATATGAATACAGTAGTACAGTAACACCGAGAGAGAGAGAGAGAGAGAGAGAGAGAGAGAGAGAGAGAAATGGGGTTTAACGTCCACTCGACACAAACTGCATCATTTCGGGAGAAACGCATTGTTCCATTTTATTTCAATAATTCGCTTGCCCGTCGGGGTCTTTAGCAGTGGGAGGAAACCAGAGGACCCGGAGAAAACCAACGAGGTTGGCCAAGCGACCTTACTTCTTGTCACGCACAAGCGGGGAATCAAAACCACACCACCTGACTCAATGACAGATCTTATGTTACAAGGCGCACGTGTTGGCCATTCTGTCACGCAATTCGGTCTTTAGTTAAAAAGCACCGAATCGTAACCTGGTGGTTCTAACAGACCGTAGAGCTCTTCTACGAACAGCGCCAGCACACGTAACCATAACAATACCATATATTAAACCACGATATCTAATTGTTAACCCATTCCTTTTATTATAGATGCTGGGGTGGAGGTGGATGAGGTTGGCCACGTCATGCTATCTAAACAGGACGACACATCAACGACCCGCAGGATGTATGTAATTAAAGATGTGTAAATGGAGTAAATAATGTGTGAACAATCACAATAAATACAATAAACTCGTTACTATGGTAACCTACCTGGTGATGTATTGGTGCCACCCAGATAAAGATTCCTGGCACAATATATATCCACTTCTAACTGACCTTTTGTTATCATAAAACCCAATTTAACATCGCCACACACTTCAGATTCTACAATTAAATGTCACATTCGTGTTATGAAAAAATATCTTTATTGATATTTACACTATGAACTATATTAGACTGTTAGAGCATTGACTCTGCACTAAAAAGAGGACAAGACAGCAATCCAAAGCTGTGAATGGGAATACACAATCTATACTAGTATTTGTAACTATCGTTTGTTTGTTTGTCTGTCTGTTCGGGGTTGGCGGCTACACTAGGGTTGTCCCTAGGCTGAAATTTGGTGTATAAGGGTAACTGGGACTGGGAAGTAACATAGGCCTGGTGGCGATGGACTATCACTTCTGGTATCGGTATTAGACTACTTGCGGTTCACGGCTAAACACGTGCTATGCCGGGTCAACCGCTAGTGGTTAATAAAGGGGATATTTGTTTATTGATCTGCTTAATATGGGAAAAATGAAAATGAATTGGGTTAAACGTCCTACTTTTTTGAAGGAAAAAGTACTTTTCACTGAATTCCAGCTATCGAGAGTTATTTTCCTTGCACACTAACGACCAAAATTGAACCCGTGACCTCATGGTATATATAAGCAACCATAAATACTCTTACAAAAACGCAGGTAAGTGCAATGGAATTTTAACTCGTCTCTATGTCTTTTAGCGGGTGGGATGGGGTCTAAGCTGTAAGACCTGTTATCTGGACGCATGTGGGTTACTGAAGGAAAGTAACCTACGAAATGCCCTACCATGATTTCTGTTGCGTGGAGGTTATTTACACCCTATTCCCGAGTAAGTTGTACATATATAGCAGACCGTGAATGCCAGTATGAGGTATATATATATATTGTACATACTAGAAGGATACCTGACTTCACCCGGGGGTGGTAGTCCATCGCCACCAGGGCCTATGTCACTTATCAGTCCGAGCTACCCCAATACACCAAATTGTAACCTCGGGACAGCCCTAGTGTAGACGCAAACCCTGAATAAAGAGACAGCCGAACAAACGACAGTCACAAATATCCTATATTGTTGATAATTACCTGCCGAAGGTTTTGGGGTTAGTTGTCCTGGTCCTAATATAGAGGTTATATCGTCACCATCTGGCGCAGGGCGGTCTGGTGTATCAGGCACGTCCCTGAAAAAAAAAAAGTTACAAATGTATTTGCGTATATTTAATGTTGACCTCTGTATAGGATCAAGGAACGTATTGAAATTTCAGACATAGTGCTGTCTGGCAACCTATATACCAGCAGCAGTTTTATTGTTCCAGCAATTTTTAAGAAAAACTCTCTCCGGTGCTGCCTCTATCGGGTGACGGGCGGTAGGGGTTGGGTACTAACTCTGGGGAATCGTCAAGGGAGGTAACGACAATATACCCACAGCGAGCAAGCACAAAATTTCGTGATTCCTTTATAACCAATTACTACTATTTAAGGTCAAGAGAAAAAAACTATTTCGAGTTGGCTATTATTATGACAAAAATGAGCCACGGTGGCTCAGTGGGTAGGACGTTGGCGCGCTAACCTGGAGGTCCGGTGTTCGATCCCTGCGTTGGCCGAGAAAGTTCATCGGGATTTTTCCGGCGTGGTTCCTCCTTGTCAGTGATGCAGGACCGAGTGCCTGGCAAGGGACAATGTATGGTGGACTTTAAAGATCCCTTGTCAGTTGGCATGCGATATAAGAATCGACCGTAGCGCCACCGCTCGTCTTCATTAGCCCAGTAGGACGTTAAACCCCATTTCATTTCATTTATGACAAAAAGCAGAAACAAGATCGACGTACTGTCACTTTAAATCTGCCATTACCATATTTGATCAATACACTGACATACATGTATAGTATTTCTTTAGATGTTAGATGACTTTCTGGCTAGCGTTTCATCTCCGTGACAGATGCTTTTTGGATTCCAAAGTACAAGAGAAAGTACAGAAGTGCTTCATTTTGAATGGCATGAAAAACATGTTGTTTATTTCAACGGTTACGCGAGCAATGCGGGGCAATCTGAATAAAATACAAATCTATATTTCGTTTCGTTTTTTTTATACTTTCGATGGCCTACACTACATGAAGATTTGACAAGTTATAGCGATAGGTCACGTCAGGGGTCAAAAGACCGACTTATGACCCTATGACGTCAGACATTTGATTAACCAATCAGCATTGATGTTACTAGTGGATTACCCACAGTTCCATGAAAAACACGCCTAAAGCTCGCCGTAACAGACCGTTTCATTGGCTTATCCCTGACAACATTCAGAACACGAGTTAAATAACAACTCTTCCAGATCCAAGTGTAGTACAGACAAGTAAAACGAAATTTTGAACTATAAAAACGAAACGAAATAGGATCTGTGTTTTAACCAGATTGAATGCGGAGCAGGAGAATTTGGGCCAGACAGTGGCGTTTCCTCATACTCTTCTTAGTTTTTCATCTGTCAAGGGCCCTTTTACGTGTTCGCCAATGTATACATGGATCCCGATTTTCCATCCGCACCCCGACACGTGAAAACCGGATTTTAAAGATCTGGAAGGGTCCTCTCGGTCCACGCTCGGATTCGAAAAATGTGCACTGAAACCGATCACTCCAATGGCGACAGCTGTATTCTTTTGTATTTAGACGACGTTCAAGAACAGTGATTTGATATTATCTACATATTATTTCATTCATTATTCACAAATTCATTATTTTCAACAAACCAGACAGTCTTTAAAGTAATCAATAAAAATTACGATGTAAACGTTATAAAGGAAACAATTGTATCTGAACAAGTGGTTCGATGCGATTGCCATCCACAAGCTAGAGCGCCATTTTTCGTACAATCAGTTGAAATAATCCAGGGATTTACGAGCTGTTATTTGCCCTAATCCAATCCATCATAGATCTTGGGAATGTAAAAATGCATTTTAAGTCTCAAAATCGGATAAAAATGTGACCTGTAGAGTGTTCTCGAATAATGTGAACGGACACACGAGTGTCCGACATAATATGTCCACATAAACATGTCGGCGTATAAAAATGTGCCAAATAATAATAGTTTGCAGTATATTTCAAGAATAACAAAAACAGAAAAAAAAAATCAAAAGCAAAGGGTCAAATAGTTAAAAATCAATAAAGCTTTGTTACGATTCTCTAGTCAATCTATTTAAGCTTGTGATAAATCAGTTCATGTTCTTTTATATCAATTATCAGGGAACTCGAAACGGGAGTTGCATCCGGCTGTAAGTTAATTAGAACGCTGGTAATATGTTTTATAGACGTACACTATACATTGTGAATTCTCTAATATAAGTAATCATTTTTATGTATTATGGCGGTAGCGGTGTGAAGCTTCGTGTCGAGTTGGCAGAAATAGTTCCGAATGACATTCTGAATAATTTATTAAGCTCACACATTCTAGTGACATGACAACATTGAATGCATTTTAAGCTCGCAAAACAAATTTCTTGATTTGATGAATTTTCGACTGAAACTGACTTCGGCTATTTTTACTAAAAGCAAATATAGACTTAAGCCCCGTTTACATGACCAAATAATACACATATGTGCATATTTGCATATATGTATTAATTACTCACGTATGCAAAAGTATATTTGCTAAGCGTTCACATGTTGTATAAGCATTCACAGTAAATATGTAATAAAGTGTTTAGATGTCATTTAGTCATGGAGCGGATAGCAAGGATTCGTCGTCAAAGAACCTTTCAATTCTTTTAAGTGTATGAATTTTTACCTTGCATTGATCAGAGGTTTTCTCAAAGCCTTTCTCAGACAGTTCTGTTGATAAACTTTTATAAATGCTCCCATTATTTACAGTTGGGTCCTCTAACTGATGCTCAATACTATTTTCAAGCCAAATACTTATCAAAGCCCTAGTTGCTTCATCATCCCATGCGATTCCGCGACTTTTGCGACCGACTTTACCTCTAGACATCTTGCTGACTATTCAGACTACTAATGACGTATTTGTTTTACCCAAAACACCACTCAACATCATATATTTAGCGATGATGCAACTGATAATGAGATATACACACATATGCAAATATTGCCGAGTGTTTATATGACACAATCTGCACAAATACTTACCCTAAATACTTTTGCATATATGCAAATATACTTTTGCATATGGTCAGGACTAGGTGCAAATTTGCACCTGCAGTATTTTTACACATGTATGCAAATGCGTTTACATGACGAAATTTGCATATATGAGTAATGCAAATTTCGTCAGGTAAACGGGGCTTTAAATGCCATACACAATGAAAATTAAGTATTACATAAAAGTCTCATTGAAATCACATACTATTCAAGCTATCAGTGGTCGAAACGAGTGTATAACCCGCATATTACTGGATGACCACGACTTTACTGTTTGGACCGCATATGAGATGACGAATTTGTGTGTGAGAGAGAGAGAGAGAGAAATGGGGTTTAACGTCCACTCGACGCAAACTATAGGTTATTTCGGGACTAAGACATGGTTCAATTTTATTTCAATAATACGCTTGCGCGTAGGGGTTTTTAGCAGTGGGAAGAAACCGGAGGACAGGGAGAAACCCCACGAGGTTGGACAGGCGACCCTACTCTTTGTCACGTACAACCGGGGAATCGAAATCCCGCCAGTTGACTCAATGACAGACCGTTTGATACAGCGCACCGCCACACGTGCTAACCATTCGGCCATCCAACCCCCCTGACATGACGAATGTACGAGAATATCTTGTATACCGGGACACAACACTTACCTTAAAAGATCCTCATCATTTTCTGAAGGCCCGTCTGTGTGGTAGCTTGACTGGCTGCTGCGCCGACTTAACGGGTGAGGTGGGGCCAACATGTCTAGATTAACTGAAATAAAGAGATATAATAGTACGTTGATAATGGATAAGTTAATTAATGTCTAATTAATAATTTAGATAACATTTCAGGCCTAAAGAAAGACCTGCAATAGGCAGATTTAGCTCTTGTATAATGTATGTTTAATGATAGCAAACATCTGAGCATCGGAGTAAAACTAAGGATGTAATTGAACATTAATTATAGCAAACATCTCAACATCAGAGTAAAAAATAGGACAGAGAGAGAGAGAGAGAGAAATGGGGTTTAACGTCCACTCAACACAAACTAGGTCACTTCGGGACTAACACATGGTTTAATTTTATTTCAATAATTCGCTTGCGCGTAGGGGTCTTTAGCAGTGGGAGGAAACCGGAGGACCCGGAGAAAACCCACGAGGTTGGACAGGCGACCCTTCTCCTTGCCACGTACAACCGGGGATTCGAAACCACGCCAGTTGACTCAATGACAGACTTTATGGTACAGCGCGCACGTGCTAACCATTCAGCCACCCAACCCCCCAAAATAGGACAGAATTGAGCGTTAATGACAGTAAACTGAAGTATGAAAGCTTTTTAAGAATAGTTTAAACCGTTTTTTTCTTTAGCCAAAGTCGATCTTTGCCGATGTTAACCTCCTTTAGTGTTAAACATACATTATGCAAGAGCTAAATCTGCATATTGCAGGTCTTTCTTTAGGTCTTAAATGTTATATAAACTATTAATTAGGCATTTATTCACAAAACAAGACCATAATCGACGCTCGATGGCATTGGATACTCGAGATTTTAACTAGATTAAAACAGTTCGACATTTAAAAATTTAATTTAAAAATGGGAAAGCGAGGCTAACTCCCGATTATACCAGTGCCCTGGTTACCACTGTGCACACATCTTGTCAAAACTACAATGATAACTTGGCTGAGAATGAAGTAATTTGAATGAAATTTTCAACATTTTCTTTTTTTATCATCTATTTTTAAATTATTATAGCAATGTATCTTTAAAGCGAGAATTTCAAAACATAATTATTTCTATGTCTTTTGCTCAATAGGTTGTCAACTCACTATTATACGATTATAGGTATTATTCTCCCTCTTAAAAATCCTTTGACCCCGGATATAATAACATAATTACCTCCCTTGTTTTTCTATTCCCCCCATGGAATAGCTATCTTCAAACGTTTGAATTTAAAGTTGAAAATGATATTTTTGCCAATTTCTCAACTGGCAATAGTGAATTATAGGATTATTCTTTAACAAGGTAGGATTGTTTATAGATACCATCTATTTTAAAGCTTTATTTTAATAAATTTTAAAAATATAACTTAAAAATATGAAATTGCAGCTTTAATATACTTGACAATCAGGAATTATCAAAAAATTATTTCTTTCATTTTGTACGTGACCATCAACGAGTACATGGGTTGACCTTGACATTTGAATTTTCAAACAATGCATTTGGGAAATATCGGAGTCTGAAGAGTACAGTAAGCTAGTTTATCGACGACTAGAAATGATCATATTTGTTTTAATATAATTCAAGGATTCAAACTGGCCTTATTTTATAAATCAATAACAATATTTCAACTTGAAAGATTCCAGACAGGTACTAGAGGAAGATAAATGCGGTACGCTGGTCTTTTGTAAAGTAAGCAGGAAACTATGGATAATTCCTATCAGACACTCCCAGTAGACTTGCTAATGGATAAATAATTTCACATGGAAGTCTAGTGGATATGACAACAATATAACTCATCCACACGGGATCAAATAAAATAAGAGTTTTACAATTTTTATATCATTAACTGGAATAGATGGTTTAATAGTTGGCTGTAATATTATCATGTTCACAGCAGCCATTCTTTGCATATAAATTTTGCTCTAGATTTTTCCTTCTGATATATAGGCCAACTGGACAGGACATTAAAACCGATTGGCTAATTCGATGTGTTATGTATTTAGTCTAATCTGAAACCCAAACAGGTCCTTTAAAGAAGCTAATTCTCTAGCTCAATATTTTCCATATTCGAAATTAAAAACACGAATTAAAATTGATCAGTTTCAATCAATATTGATGTTGTTATCTTGCCTGAAACTACGGGTGCCAATTTGTAATGAACAAATAAAAACATATCCTACAACACGATGTGGAAGTAATTAGTAACGGCTGATTCACAAACGACAAAATAATAATTTAAAAAAACGTGTAGAATGCACTAATAAGCATAAACTAACTACTGCAGTTCAATTTGAATATAGATCACTTTAAATACATTCATGTTACATTAATATGTGCTTTCAGAACCATTTTTGTCTATTTCAAGGTTCCAAAAAATAGAGCCATACACCCTTTAAATATCACACTTTTATACTTACCATTAGAAAGTTTACGCAGTCTGGGACTGTCGAAAGTTTCTGTTTGTTCCAGACTAAGTCCACGGCTGAGTTTTCTAGGGATAAAGCCATCGCTATCGTTTTCACGCTTATCAGATATAGATAAGGATAAAGACACTTTACAAACAGCATTAGACATTCTCTTCTTCACCTTCTTACTGAAACTTTGTCGTTTACCTGAAAGTTAGCAGTAGAAAAACCTACGGTTAGAGGTATAAAGCCAAACGTTAGAGGTATAAAATCCAGAGTTAGAGGTACTAAACCTAAAGACTAAAACCTGAAGTTAGATGTATAAAACCTAAAGCTAGCAGGCTCTTAGCTAGCAAGGGGGGGAAGGGAGCAAGGCGGCAAGGGGTACGGGGAGGGCAAGGGGACAGATGCCCCTCCCCGCTGGAAGGCGCCCTTTCCATTGGACGCAATACGAAGCCAACAACCAACGTGCCCATCAGTTTGACTAATGTCACTCGCGTTTATGAGCGCCTCGCCAATCATGTCGTTATATATGACCCCCCCCCCCATCCAAATGGCGAGGCGCCTCATAATGAATCACACGATTAACACCACAACTTGATTGATTGGGCGCCCAAAACGGAGTGATCTGTGGGGTACCTCATCCCGGAGGAGGGCCCATAATGACATGATTATAAAACATTCTTTAAAAGCGTCATCATGGGCAACGCCGTTGGTAATCCGGGAACTTGAAAGTAGTTCCAATGGCGGACTTCGTCATACAGCCGAGGCTAGATGTAGGGTATCTGGAATCTGCTGAGGGTTTGCCGAGTGTGAAGCGCCCAAAACGGCATGATTGGTTGGGTGCTTCATCCCGGAGGGGCGCCCATAATGTTAGAGGTATAAAACCAGAAGTAAGAGATATAAAACCTCTAAAGTTAAAAGTATAGGTTAAAGGTACAAAACCTTACATTATTAGTATAAAACCAAAGTTACAGGTATAAAGCCCAACGTTAAGAGTATAAAACCTAAAGCTACAAATATAAACCTTAAGTTGGAGGTGTAAAAGCTGAAGTTAGGACGATTCCGCTGGTATTATTAATCAGATTACAGCGTTTGGTTGAACTAGACTAGTATAAACTCTTTATATTATTGAAATCTTTTTCTTTAAAAAATCAGATAGACCCAACCAATTTGCTGTATCGAATTCCACATTATGATGATCAAATCGGGTTTTTTTTCGAACACAACGTAAAGAAGATCAACAACACAACTGCTAATAAATCAAATGAAATAAAGTTTAACGTCCTAGTTTTCGGCACCGACTGGACTAATAAACACGGCTATACGCCACGGAGTGTTTTATAAGGGAAATGTTATACTCTTTTTTCGAATTCTAACTACCCGGGGTTCTTTTACGTGCACGCCGAAGTGTACACGGACCCCGTTTTTTCACACCATCCAAACGACTAGACATAGTCCTTGGCGGGCCCACCTATTAGTATGACATTTTACGGACACCGTATTGGGTATATGTCACAATGTTCAATAATGAGAAGTGGTATCAGGTGTTCTAAACGTGAAATATTGTAAAAGCTTACCTTCGTTAAAGATGGCATCCGGAATATTAGTTGGTGATGGTATCGGTGATGGCGTATAATGGTTATCAATGCCGTGGCCTGTAACTGAAACAATTAGCAAAATGAGATAAATAAAAATAAAGTTTTACATGTATCCTCGATAATCAGCATAAATTGCAACTCCGTTATGGACGATCGCATTTGCACCATGAGTTTACTATGAATAGTAATTAAACAGTGGGGTACTAGTCTGGGGCTGGTTTCACGAAATTTTAACTAAGATAAAATCCAAATTTCAGTAATTTGATTGGATAATATTAGATTGATTTTAGTGCTTAGCCAATCAAAATTGAGATATCTACTAAAATTTGGATTTTATCTTTAGTTAAAATTTCGTGAAAGAGGGCCCTGATTCTAACCGATACATCGGATGTTCGATGTAATTCTAAAGATTATTTGGAAGATTGGCAGCCGACAGTAAAACTCCCCAGAGGACAATAATTTAAAAAAAAAAAATAATAATAACACGTATGCAGAAGCGTTACAACCGTAATTTCCCATGCATAATCGTAAAGATAAATCGACCATGTTGCGTTTTATATTCCGTAATTTATATTTTATCCGTGTGCAGTCTCAAAACAGTAACACAAAACCGCAACGAAACGAAGAAGAGAAAAGACAACGACAGGGATACAGATTCGACTCGTCTGTGTTTCGAATACCTGTGTCCTTAAAAAATCACGGTTAAACAAATAGTTTCTGTCTTTTTCAACATTTTTGGGAAAAAAAATAACTAACACCTTTTTACTGTTAAATTTTTTCATGGAACAATAGACTAATAGTTCCTTGCTTTTAAAACACTTCATTTAAAGACACATTATGTAAAATTTAGATAAAGAGCTAGCCATTCTTACTATACTAGTTCGAAAATAGATCATGTAAAATGAATAATTTGAAAATTTTATTCCAATTACTCTATTGCGAGCGAAGATATTAGCCATTGAAGGTTTAACAAGACGTGCGCAAAAATTTCAATCACCGTACTGGTTGTTCGAAGCTAAAGTCTCGCTCCTCCAGTCTTAGATTATATCAAAATATGTCTGAACTGTTCTAATCTATTTAATATCGGAGAAATAAGTTAATTAATGTCTAATTAAGAATTTAGAAAACATTTCAGGCCTAGATAAAGAAAGACCTGCAATAGGCAGATTTGATTTACCCCCACTGTGCCAGTTTTATTGTTTAGGGATTAATCAAATAATTAACGATACAACAATGGGGATTAGTTAGGATTAAGGGTTAAGGGTTTACCAGAGGATTAACAGTTTAATTCAATATTTTATTCCATTTTAAATCTACCTTTTTTATACTAAAATACAGTATTTAAAATTTTTAGCATATAATGTACTAATGTACAAGTTATCATTTAAACATTTTCCTATTAATAATACATCTTCAACAAAATACATCTTACAATCCAACTAATGGGAAACAGCATCCCCGTACTCGATGACGGTGTAATGCCCTTCATGGAGGCGCCGCTTTTCTGTTACCAGTCTGGGCCCTCTTTCACGAAATTTTAACTAATCGTTGTTGGCCGGATGGTTGTGGCAATCTCTGTATGTGGTGATCAGGTTGTCGAAGGTATTGATGGTCGATGGACAAGTAGTCTTACAGCATCTCCAATGGACCATATCCCCTTTCCTCGTTCGAATTCTAAATTTATGCCCTCCTGAGCATTTGGTATGAAACTAACATCTACTTGAACGTTTGCCATCTTGTGATATCTGTCAGATCAATGTTGTTGACAAATGACAGTGGTTCCATATATAGAGTGTCCTCTGAACAGAGTTCACCACTTAAGTAAGTTTTAACAAAAAATTGCTTATCATCATGATAAAATAAGATGAACACAGTTTACTTGCCATATGCTGAACGAATAATCTGTTGAACACAGTTCTCTACACCATACAATTGGCCCACTTGATTAAGCCAATTAAGGCTGTTAATTAAAATCCGATAATCTAGGATAATCCAGGGATTAAAAACTGGCACAGTGGGAGTACCCCGCAGATTTAGCTCTTGCATAATGTATGTTTAATTAGATTAAAGTAAACTGTACCTGTTTGCATCTTAACCAAAAGTCTGTTACTAGTGTGTTCATAAGATGGTGTTGTTGGTAGGGAACGATGAACTGACGGATGGTCATCACCTTTATCTTGTGATCCGATCAGGATATCTGCTTCAGATATATCCCCAACAGATGATTTACGGTCTGGAAGAGGGGAACTATTCTCGTCATGATCTTCCAGGTCGTACCAGATTGGACCAACTGGAACTTTGTCTTTCAGATCTAGTAAAACCTCCCCAATAAAAATATCTCCTGTTAGCTTCTGACTCCATATCGTAATTTCTACCGAGAGTCTCTTAACCTTAATAAATAAAATATTGAGATATAATTATGAAAAATGGATGAATATAGCAGGAATAAGTGGTGTTTTCAAGAATTTGAGCAGGAGAGGGCCCGGGGTGGAAACATCCCGATGTTTGCAGAGAAAGTTCATTAAGCTGGAGTCACACTGTCCCGAAATCGACACCAGATGGAGGACACACGATAGAATAAATGTTCAAATTCGGCTCTGATTTATAATTGCCATACACATTTGTTACTGTACTTGCTTGGAAACGTTGAGAGAATACTCTTCGAAACGTTGCCTAAATAAATCAGTAATTTTTTCCATAAGTATGTGTTATAGTTTATTGAATAAGGATCAAGGTTCCCTCAAGAAATTTAATCACTATTGTGTTCACAAGCTTTTTCGGACAAATAGTATATCCCTGTAACAGATAATCTTAGATTGATGAAAATCAACAGGATTCATCCGTTACGATTCCAAGGCCTCAATAGAGTTAATTATCACACAGTCCTAATGCTGTTACACAAAACTTGAAAGAAATCTGAATGGAAGGTCACGTAAAACTGAATATCGACAGGGTTTTTACTCTTATGACCACAGTGCTTCAAACCAAACGTGAGAAGAATCCGTTGAAAATTGTAGCCTACATTCACAAGCCAATTGTTGAAGGACGGACCGACGAGGTGATGCCCATAATACGACATAATAATTACCTCATGTTCTGCTATTTCTGGATATTCAAAAGTTTTATTCCATTCGGGATTCCTTGTCTTTTTCTGCGGTTCTGTCTCATAAAAACAGAACAAACTGTAATAGAAAATAGACTTAATGCAAAAATAAAACAAGAAATAGTTGGCTCTTCAAATGAGAAGTGGTATCGGGTGGTAGAATATAAATAAAATTAAAGAAAATCGGGATAATGAATAAGGGCGTGGGGAAGTTGGCCCAGACAACCAACTCTTGTTTCGATTTCCAACTTTCAGGGGACTTTTAACGCTTAGTAGTGACAATGCGTCATGCTCAGCGGGTCGCCAAGCCGCCAAAAAAGTCTTTTACATCATGTCCAATCATACTTGTTAGTTACAAAGTCCCATGCTCAATGGGTCGTCAAGGCGCTAAAAAAGTCTATTACATTATGTTCAATCATACATTGTCTTAATAGTTAAATTTTAATTAAATTAGCCATCGATGCAATTAAAAATTAAAACCATTAACTCTGAACTGGACAAGCTTGTGACAACTTTTAATTCGGTCATCTCCTACTCGGTTCATCGATTAGAACCAAGAATTAAAAGCGAACTAAAAATTTCTGTTTTATTTAGGGATGCAATTATTGACGTCTTTGAATGAGCACCATATTCAATGGATTCTTTAAGATCTTATTACAGAATTATGTCTCTACGTGACAGAAATATCCCAGTTTCATTAATATTAGATCTTCATTTACCTCCTTTGGGGTAATATATGTACCATGGCGAACGGCTTTGGAATTCTTGAAGCTTCATCAGATAGACCAATATCCGTTGCTTTAATAACCATAACTGATAATATTTCATCCGTGGGCGAATAATTAATCTGCGCTTGGATACGACCGCTCACCTTCCGGGTTGTCTTTTTAATTTCGATCTACAGAGAAGGAAAAAAAACGTTAGGCATGATTACAACGACGAATACTAATAGTGACGTGAGCATATGTTGTAAGCATTTGATCCCATGTATAGCACTGATAATTGTCAGCAGGATCCCGGAGAGCCATTATGGGATAACAGGAACTTAATGTTCAAATCGCGAGATCTAGCATGTCAGCTCTGAACTTCATCATGAACCCATTTTTATTGATTTTTATTTCGTTTTTATACCAAGTTGACAACAAGACGACAGCGATCGCTATAGTTAATCTGACAGACGATAAGAATTGCTGTTGAAATTACCCGATTTCCGTTGTGTTAATTGTTTTGAGGTTTCGCCATTATAAGAAACATGATGCATTTGTCGTTATGAGAGAAGACTTAAGACAAAATGCTCATTGTCACGAATAGTCTTATATATCTATAAACAACCTTCTATAATAAGACAACCATGATATTTATAACATTTTAAATCCTTATTGAAACATTCTGTGTCTCTTTTCAGTATAACCGTTTTTTATGATCTATTCTATATATACGTTAAAAAAATATTTCAAGCAGCTCAAGCCGACAATTACCAGAAATACTATTTCTATTTGAATGCCTGGAGTATGCCAAAATAACTTCATCTAAAGAAGACATGCACATTATTGCTATAATAGTCCAAAAATAGCTAATGAAAAATGAATATATTGAAAACTTCATTCATATTACTTTATTCTGAGCGAAGTTATGACTGTTTGAAGATATAGCGTAGATAGTCCATTATCGTACTTGACAACCTAGACTTCGCTTCGCGTGTCCATTTTATCGTAAATTTTTAAATCTCATGGATGTTTAAATCCATTTAAATCTCGGTCATCCGATGACCTAGAGAGTTGTTTATTGGCATACCATGTTAATAAATGTCTAAATAATAATTTATATAAGATTTGAAACCAAAAGAAAGACCTGCAATAATGCATCTTTAAGTGTAAATTGAGAAATATACAACTTACCGGGGTAGGGGGCAACATTCTTCGCCTTGGTTTATTCATTGTTGGTAATGGATTAGCCATGGAAAGACCTAGAATATTTATACAACACATTTATATTCCCTTAATAGTTATTTTTAAACACTGAACCCCTGTTAAGGTCATAGAACAGGTCATCTTGATCATCTACCCTCTCCCACTCTGCTAGGGTTAGGTTACACTTGTCGAATAACCAGATGCTTGAGATTTAGTATGTATCAATATTGGGAGCCGCGGTGGCTCAGTGAGTAAGACGCTGGCTAGCTAACCTGGAGGACCTGTGTTCGATCCCCGTGTTACCGTCGAAAGTTCAGGAGAAAAGGCCTCGAAAGGGACATTGTATAGTCGCCAGGATGGTACGAAAATTCAAGGTCCCATGTACACATTGGTATGTACGTAAAATAATCCTTGGCTGTTCGAATTCGATATAAGAATTGCCTATAGTACCACTGTCGGGGCAAAATTTCCATATTTGCAAACTATGGCGTATGTCCGTCTCAAGCAGCCCAGTTGGAGCAGAACAGTAGGATGCCAAACCCATTTCATTTCATTTCTGTATCAATTTTAGACAGTTTCATTATTCACCCATCATTGTTATTTAGAATGTCAAATGATGACAGCTAGCTGTACCACGTGACGTGGGAAAGCTTGGAAAGTTGGAAAAATGATTGAAACAACACCACGCAAGTTTGAAGTTGTACCGGTTTTTGAGACGATTGCATGACTATGTTTTGAACAAATGTGTATAGAAACCGTTTACATAATTGTCACTAACCTGTTTTTAAAACTCTTCTATCCCCCGGAGATGCTAACTTATTACTGCAATAAACAAATATCGTTTTTTATATTAGATTAGGAAAGAAGCAATCACCCACATTGGAATCGATTGAAATCATATCGTGGAGTAATCGTGGTGATCCTATCAGGTTTTACCATATATTGTATATATGTGGCCAGTCGTTGTAATTGTGTTTGATCGTATCGAAACGTATCCGAACGTATCTGCACGTACCAGATTGTGGACTCATTAGGGAGAATCCTATCGTAACGCATCACACGACAGTGGGATCCTAGCATTACGAATTAAGACTAAATTATCTTTAAATTTCCCTCTGTGCTTCATGATGTTGGTATTTTTCAGTTACCTATTTATTTACGGTGCATACATGATCTGAAAGCTGTTCACAACATGTAATGGTCGATTTTAATATGTTTCCAATCGATGGTTATGTGTTAAGGACCACGACTGTCGAGGAACGGTGAACCACGATTCTGGCTCAGTGAGTATGTCGCTAGCTCAGTGATCAAGGTGTCCAGGGTTCGATTACGGTGGTGGCTGAGAATGTTCTTTTGGATTTTAAAGACAATAAAACGGGGCCACGGGATACCATTGGCAGTACGTTAAAGATCCTAGTGTAGTTGATAATCTAAATAAGAGTAACATGACTGTATTACCCTTGACAAGACAAAATTTCCCTCGTAGATATACTTCAATATCCCTGTTGGTGCAGGAAATACGATTAACACAATTTGACTCATATCATTTGATAGGCTGGGGTAGGTTGACATGCGAACACGTGTGCTAGTCTCAGCGACTTACTGCACATATGAGAGAGAGAGAGGAGAGAGAGAGAGAGAGAGACGTCCACTCGACACAAACTAGGTCATTTCGGGCCTAACGCATGGTTCAATTTTATTTCAATATTTCTCTTGCGCGTAGGGATCTTTAGCAGTGGGAGGAAACCGGAAGACCCGGCGAAAACCCACGAGACTGGACGTGCAACCGGGGAATCGAAACCACAACAGTTGTCTCAATGACAGACCTTATAATACAACGTGCACGCGCGAATCATTCGACCATCCACCGCCCCTCACCCCCTGCACATATAAGTAATTTATGTAATTGAAATTTGATCTATGAAAACAGACTGGAACCAAAAGTTATAGAGAATTCCCTTTGGTTTCCTCTGACTGTTTTCATTCTGAAACACTAGTCTAGTATTTAAAAAATCAATATGTTAATATAAACGAGTGGGTTTATTTTTTTTAATGTCAACGACATGCAGATTCGTCAAAAGATAAATAAAAAAGCACTGAGGATTGATAAGCTTTTCAAAATAAGTTTTATGTTCAATTAAACAAAAAACATAATCAAGATTGACAACATTGTAAAACTAATCTTCAAACCATGATGTCGGCAGGCAGGCGGATATTATGTGATAATCACGGACTACTTTCTTTTATCTTTCAGTTTGTATTTTTTCTTTATCTCGCTTTGTGGTCTGGATTTTAACCATCAGCCTTTCAGGATGATTACTTATGCGCCTTTGTGTCTGAATTAAAACTATTAAGCCATTATACTGAAATACCTCTGAGATTGATGAAGCACCACGAGTTGAACGACATTTCCTGCTTTATCCGTAATATCCCGTGCTTCCTCGAATGTTACACCAACTAACGACTGGCCATCTAGTTCTAAGATCTGATCACCTTTAAGAAAGAAAGAGAGATGGGGTTTAACGTTCGCACAACACAAACTAGGCCATTTCTGGACTAACATATTAGCGTAGAGGTCTTTAGCTGTGGTAGGACACCGAAGGAATTCCACGACGTGAAGAACCAGGCAGGTGACCCTATTCATTGTGACTGGGATCGATGCCACCCCACTTGACCCAATGGCCGACTTTATGATCTAATGTGCATGTGTTAGACCTCTCCGACACCCAACCGTCCCTGATCACTTCTAAGATAAATGCAGTGTATATATTTAGATTTGAGTGAGAACAAGATCAAACGATGAAATAACGAAATGAAATGAAATGAAATGGGGTTTAACGTCCTACTGTTCTGCTCCTAACCTGGGATAATTAAGACGGGCATACGCCATACAGTGTGCTATGAGGGAAATTTTGTCCGGACAGCGGCACTACGGCCTACTCTTATATCGAATTCCAGCTGCCAAGGGATATTTTACGTGCACGCCAATGTGTACACGAGACCTCGGTTTTTCGTCCCATTCGAACGACTAGACAGCTTTCCTTGTCAGCCCCTCCGTCCTGCATCACTGACAAGGGAGAACCACGCCGGAAAATCTGGATGAACTTTCTCGGCCAATGCAGGGATCGAACACCCGACCTCCAGGCTAGCGAGCTAGCGTCTTACCCACTTAGCCACGTGATCCCCCGACGAAATAACAATGTACATAACATAACGTTTGATTAGTTATCATCACCGTGCACTTAAAGATACATTGGTTAAGAGTTTTATAAAGAGTTGGCCATTCTTGCTATAATAATTCAAAAATAGATGATAGAAAAAGAAAATGTTGAAATTTCAGTCAAATTACTTTGTTCTGAACGGAATTGTCACTGTTTGAAGTTTGGACTAGAAATAGGCATCAATTGTGTCTGCACCGTCTATGAGAATTAACGATCGTTTGCTTGACAAACGATAACTCCACCCACATATTCTCGATTATCAAGTAACATGCTCAATGGCTAGGGTAGCCTCGCTTGGCAGGCCTTTCATGACCAGTTTCCGGTAGTGACATCAGCGGCTAACGGTAAACGTTAGCTTGGTCTTCCATTTATTGATTTAATTTTAAATTGACGACTGTTTAAATCCAAACTGTATCCAAGCCATCCGTGGGTCTACAGAGTTGATTTTGAGCTTGTCGTGTAAATAAAGGTCTAATTAATAATTTCTATAACATCTGAAGCCTAAATAAAGATTTGCTATAGGCAGATTTAGCTCTTGCATAATGTATGTATAAAAGTTGGCACATATTCTCAAATGTTTGGCACTTTTCAACTTTGTTCATCTCCAAAGTAGTTTACATTAGTAAATTTAGGATTCATACAAGATAATTTGTGGCATATTTTTAAAATTTTTTATCATTAACTTAGTTTTTGGTACAGGTTTTATATGTATATAAAGTCATATTTAATCATTGCTTGATAAAGGGTAGGCAAGCCTAGTGCAGATGTCGTTGAGTAATAAACAGTATTATTCCATAGAATTGTGCTCTGGGCATCTCCAGTTCAATTACTAAATGCCATTGAAAAAATATAACTAATTCTAACGTAAACGAAAAGAGAGATTGGCTAATAATTCAGTTTATTATGAAGTATCTTTAACAAGATCTTTAACAAGAGCCCAATAATAATATACTTTACAGGTTAAAGACCTTTTACAAAATGAGTAGGTCATCTAGTAACCATTACCTTCTTTGATGCCACCTTGAACGTCTGCTGGGCCGCCCTTGATCACCATGGAAACAAAGGCACCTAACTGGCCACTGTCACTTTCTTTACCACCCACCACCCTCATGCCCAAACCTTTCGCTACAAAATAACATTAAAAATAACATCTAAAATATATTTCAATTCCTAGCACCACCTCGACAGTTTTCCTGTCGTTGGCTGGTTGCTTTATATGACCTATAGCCACGTTCATCACCACCCAGGTACCTACCCCCCTCATGCCCAGACAGATTGCTACGAAATAACATAGATAAAAATAAAATGTCTGATATGTATTTCAATATATTCCTAGCCGGTCTCCTAACCATTTAGTGGTTGATCTATAGCTGACCTGTAGCCACATTCATTACCACCGAGGCACCCTCATGCCCAAACCTTTTGCTACAAAATAACATAAATAAAGCTAAAGTGTCTAAAATATATTCTAATATATTCCTGACACGGTCTCGACAGATCTCATTGATCTTCTGTCGTCTGCTGGTTGACCTATAGCTAGACTGTCTGTCTAAATCTGCTCTGATTAAAATACAGACGTTAATTTGCTTCGGGGATTTTTTCTTTTTGCACTTTGGATCTGACTGACACCAGATTATGGTACTTCGTGTTCTACCTACAGCAATAGGTAAAATGTTATCGTTGTGTGAGGAGTTGCTACCAGAATCGATATCGTTGTTGTTCAAAACAACTGCATGGGATTTGTAATTCTGCACAGAGAGAACTATCTACTTTGAGAACAGATCTCTGCAATAAATTTCCGCCATATTGAAACAGTAGTGTTTCAATTTCTAACGCTTTCTACTCCGTTTCACATCTGTCATACATACACAGACTACATACTTTAGGAATTAAAATGTCGGTCAACCAGCTAAGTGTCTGTTCTCAAGCGGATCTAATTGTAAACAGATAGCATAAGTTTAGTATGAATATTTACAGCAGGTTTTCACATCATCAGTACGCACGGAGGTCCTAGACAAGGGAAATGATCTAGTAATTCGGATGGGGAAAAAACCGAGGTATAAATAACAGAATATTATACCAAAAAGGAAACAGACCAGTAAATATTATTTTAAATGTGAATGGTACAGATCACACCAGATAATTTTTTATACTTATATTATAATGGCTAGGGAATGTACATTGTGTTAGGCCAGACAGTCAGTTGAGGATAATTATCCGGCCATTAGTTGAAAACCATTAACCCGTTGGTTTTAAATACATGAGAAATTACAGTTCTATTTATCTTCAACTGCTAATCTCCTAAACAGTCAACAACAGTACTCAATTACACAGGAATGTTTTTCAACGTGAAACACGAACACATTTTATTTCAATAAATCGCTTGCGCGTAGGGGTCTTTAACAGTGGGAGGAAACCGGAGGACCCGGCTAAAACCCACGAGGTTGGCAAGCGACCCTACTCCTTATCACGTACAACCGGGGATTCGAAACCAAGCCAGTTGAATCAATGACAGGCCTTATGATACAGCGCGCACGTGCTAACCACGACCAATCAAAATAATACTGTCCTCCTTTTACCATCAACTAGCTGTTTACCCGGCGTTGTAAAGGGTAGAGATTTCAAACAGGAAGTAGTATACCCTCAAAACCGAACGTGGTAGGGCAACACCATCAGACCTATATTACTCCCGGCTCTATGGTTAGAGCTGCCCTTACGCCCCAAATTTCAGCCTCGGGGCAGCCCTGAACAAATATAAAGTGGTGGTATACCTGTTCTTCAAAATATGAATACAATAAAAGCTTACTTCTTTGACTGGGGTCTGATTTATCTCTGTGTAAAATAACTTCATGTGGATTACCAGCTGCAGTTGATACGACTCCTACATAAAACAATATATATATATATTTTAGTGATTTAACCTTAACAATACATGTCTAAATATATGGACAGAAATGGAGCGGCCATCTTGGATTTATTCAAATTAGAAACTTTTTTGTCTATCCGCGAATCTACATTTTTGATATGTTATTCAGTATCAGTTCGGAAGTTGATTACTGAAAACCCGGTGTCTGGGTTTGTTTCGCTTGGTTAGCTGGCCACTACACTCTAAACCTAAACAAGATTGGTGGATCCCGCCTTAATCAAAATTAAACAGATGCAAACCCTTAATTACTTGCATATCTATCTGTTTATTAATCACCAAGCAAATCAAATGATGTATCAATCTGCTTAGAGACTCAATATTGAACTTAGTCAAGGCATCGATGCAATGAAACTATACAACCAATTAGATTTTTCATGTTCCAAACCATCTACAAATCTGTCGCGATCGATTGGAAAACATATATCAACCACCAGGAAAACATTCTTGATAATCTACATTTTTTATTTTTTACATGTTTTGTATAAGAGATGTTATTAATGTTAGGACTGGGAAGAACTAGAAGCCTATCAATTTTATTTAATTCTGATGATTACTCTATGGTTTCTTACTCGTGACCATGCTCCGACTCAACAATAAATATGTCACAACCTTTTTGACTTCGCGTCGTAGGAGTATGTTCCGTTTTCTGACAACCTATCAGTTAATATGAAAACGAAGTACAAATTTCTTACTGCATCGCCTCCTTCATTAAAGATACTCTCCCAGAAAAGCATTTATCGGGTGGTTATTTCTAATGAAATTATGGCAATTTTCTTACTAGAAAAATACTGGATTCCATGAAAAACACCCATGGATACGCGAAGATTGTCCGATCTCTCAGCGTTAGTGAGCGCTTGATGTAGATGTTGATAAACTTGATGTAGAACTTAAACCTACCACAGTTTCTGAGATAAAAAACACAGAAAGAGACGTGGGCAGTTGATAATCCGAGAATTTAATTAGGCTTCGATATTTATGATAAATGGACAGCCATGTGCAATGAATTCTCCTCTGGCTTCGCACCCTTGCTACGTAGCCCGTCAGTCAAGTCACATGACACAAACATGACTTCTTTTGATATATGTTTTATAGCAGAGAATTCCCTCGCGAAAACGATGTTCTGAGAAGGATTAAAGTAAAATTTTGATAGATTAATTAGTTTGAATATGTTTTTGGTCCAAATATGTCATCAAATCACCCAGTTTGTACGCGGAAAGGTATCTTTAAGAATCCCTTTCATTAAATAATATTATCACAATAGCTGTCGTGGGTGTATGTTTCATTTCCTTACACCCTATTATTCAAAACGAAAGCAAATTACAAACTTCGTAAGGTTTCCTTTCATTAAATAACACTTGCAGTGTCTTCGGTTACCTTAAATATGATTTCTCTTACCTGAAAAGGGACTATTTTGACAAATTTCAATATTTTCACACTGAGACAGGGTGACACGTCTCGACAATAGTTCTTCTTTAGAGGCTACCTGATAACAGCAGCTCTGAAACCCTCGTAGAGCCGCCGTTCTATTCTCCTTATGGTTAGGCAATTGACCGAAACCATCGCCATTACCGTCGACACATTTGGCGTCAGACACCAGACTGGAAGAACTGCTACGGTATATGGCGTCTTGTCGCTGCATTTTATTTAGAGGTAATGGAGAATTGGCACAATCTGAGATACTACTATCTTTGGTTAAATAAGACAAGGCACTGCTGTCGTCTGTCATTGAATCTAGAGACAATTTGGATCTGGAATGGAACTTTCCAGTTAATTGGAGTTTCGGTAAAGATTTGTACCGACTTCTGAGCTTTGGCCGTTTTCTTTCCTCTGAGCTTAACCCGGAAGAAAACGGAACATCGTTTGTATCGGATGTCATTTCGTAAGTACTTTCCTCGCTGAAATGGTTGCTTGGCAAATAACGTCGACGCCATTTTCTTTGTTGCCTTTTTTGTCTGAATAAAAGTCTTTCTCGGTGAAGTTCTTCTTGATTATCATCAACGTCATCTTCATCTTCGTCAAAACTCTTTGAACGAGGTGTTACCGGAAGACTACAGCGACGAGCACGTCTGACTGACAAATCATGGAAGTCACGTGACGTATCCATGTCACGAATCAATTCAGAATCTGTCAAATTTCCCATGGGCATTTTCTCGCTGTCACTGGGAATTAAATTCTGCATGGTTCCCTGAAATGAAAAAAAGAAACTACATCTCACTCTGTATATCGAGCAATATTTACTGCTTAAACAAATAATCGGCGTGTATGTGGTCTTTGTTAACGGAGACTGGTAGTCTTTGAAATTATGTTCGATATTATTTGACTATCAAAAATCGTTAAACCACGCTTAACCAGAAGCAGAATTTGTTTTGGTATCAATAAGACAATTATCACGGCGGATGTGACGTTATGCGAGGAAGTGTCCACCAGTTTAAATTCCTATATACAGACATCAGAAATCATTAAGAAATAGCATCATCAAAAGGATAGTCTTTTAAATTTTATATCATGACCTACAGCGCACGCGTTAGAGCACTAGGCCACCCATCCCCTACAATGCAAAGGAATCGGACATTACAGAGACAATATATTATCGATTATAGTATACATTAATCAAATTTCAAACATTAGCAATTTAAATGGCGCCTTTTAAATCAAATTGTCTGCGCATCTTGAGTATGTTTCATTTATAAAAAAATATACCATAACAGATATTAACACAATAGATTTAATGTTTGTAAAAAAAATGGTTTAGTTTTTACATGCCACCGCTCTGCTTTGTATTATTCAGGGAATTTGCAGTTACGCAAGTGTACTTATTATGGTTATGTAAATTCGGATTGACGCTTTACGTAAAAGGGATGTACATGTTAAATTAATCCCACGTAAAGGGTATTAAGCCCCCATCTTATACGTGTAATCTTTCAACATTTGATTAAGCACATTGCGCAATATGACGTGATTTAAAAACCTGTGAACACCATAATATATCCAAATAGCTCAAGTGAGTATTTTTGATGATCAAACGGAATGAAAGTCATCCAGAATTAGACATCCAATAGATGATGTAGTGCAACTACAAGAAAACATAAAACAGACGGTACATTATCATCATAAATACTAAAGTTAAGAAACAAAGTTTTTTCAACCACATAAAAAGCAGTAACCTTGCTTTTAACCAGACAGAACATATTTTATTACTTTTTCTCCTGGGATAATGCTATGTAATTTCTATGCCCTGATCTGGTGCCAAGCTCGAGAATGTGGATGATTATCAGAAACCAATAATTTAATGCCCCTATAAAATTTAAATTTATACTTTAATGAATGAAGTGTGCTTTAATGGGACACCAAGCGCGCCAATATAAACTTTAAGATCATGCATAATACCCCCAAGTACTTTTGTAACAAAACCATTGCTCGAAAAGTCAATCAAATCGAATAATTGTCAATTGTCTCCGTTAGCCCTGTTATCGTAAAATAAGTCCTTAAATCACATTTCGTTTCATTTAGTTTCAACTGAAAAGGTAAACAAACACACTTCTATAATCTGCTGATCACAAATGTTTGCTTTTAATAATTGTACTTCCCTGTTGCCAAATCCAAAATGAACGATATTCAAATTTGATGGATGTCTAAAAAACAAAATGTGGCACTGTTTTAACTTTTACATTATATTATCAAATATGACACGCAATAATATCACGGATATATCCCAAATCTTAGTTCTCATAAGGAACATTAAGATGGAACATTAATGATGAGTGTCCAGTTTCACTCGGTACCATGACCGGGTTATGTTAGTGTGAGGCCTGTATGCAATATATCCAAAATCTTAGTTCTCATAAGGAACATTAAGATGGAACATTAATGATGAGCATTCAGTTTCACTCGGTACCATGACCGGGTTAAGTTAGTGTGAGGCCTGTACGCAATATATCCAAAATCTTAGTTCTCATAAGGAACATTAAGATGGAACATTAATGACGAGCATTCAGTTTCACTCGGTACCATGATGACCGAGTTAAGTTAGTGTGAGACCTGTACCATATAAAAGGACCCCGATTAGCACAATATATAGATACAACATGTCCTTTAATTACTGTGTTAAAAGAATAACATCAATTAAAGAAGATTGGCTCGAATCGCTAACCGTAAAGCCGACCATCATCTGAGGAACTTTGAATTCCTTGCCAACTAGAATATTGTTGAAGTTAAATATCGAAATCCGTATTTATAATGCAACTAGCGCTTGACCCGGAGTAGCACGGGTATACCCATGAACCGAACGTAGCATAACTCTGGAACTGGAAGTGGTAGTCCATCGCCACTAGGGCTATGTTACCCCACGGTCCGAGCTTATCCCCATACACCAAATGTTTCCCTCGGGACAGCCCTAGTGTAGCCGCAAATCCTGAACAGACAAAGAAACAACAGTTACACATATTAGTATAGAAGATGAACCATGGCAAATTTTGCAGACAATGTAAAACAAGCCAATGTTACCTATAAATAGTTGGTAAAATCTTTTGATAGGCCTCTTTGATCGGCCACTTTTAAATACGACTGAATCCGCTTGAATATATTTAAAGACAATCTGAAGCCAGTACAGGTGAGTTTAACGTCCACTCAACACAAACTAGGACATTTCAAGACTAACATAGAGTTCAATTTTTATTTCAATAAATCGCTTGCGCGTAAGGGTCTTTAGCAGTGGAAGGAACCCTACTACCCGGAGGAAACCCACGGATTTGACAATTGAGTAGTAGTAGAGCAAGTGTAGAAACAATCAATTGAAATTGATAACTTGCAAACATTTAGCGCAGGCCCCGAAATATATTCTGACAATAATCTCCTCGTGACCTCTTTACATGACATGGGATCTGAACACTCTGGAACTGCTGCGTATGTGCATAGAGATAGATACTGACGTCTATGGTATGTGTTGCAATGTGAGACTTTTATAACTTTACAATACGAATGAGTTTCACGTGGGAGTTATTAAGATTTGAAATACTAAAGACCATTATTTTAATTACTTCACTTATCTCTTTGAACAAATTAATGTGCATGAATTCATTTACTTTCCTATCCAAATTAAAACAGGGATGAGGGGACTTTTAATAACATGTTTTTTTTAAAGATTTTAATTAAAATATTAAAATATTTAATCAAAAATGATTATATTAAACTATAATTTTTGAAAGGCATTTGGGGATTGGGCACATTGAAGCGTTCGTTACTTGTATAATTTAAAATTACAAGAGTAAATTTGGCAAAACTTCGCGCTATATAATAAACCAGTAATTGCCTTCTGTATAAATCGTCGATGAGTTTTTATATTGAAGTACCAGTATGTAAAATTACCAATTAATGAAATATAAAAAGATATTTTTTCGCAATAGTCGGAACCAAATGTATTATCAAATTGTTGACGTTATTAGACATCGAAAATAGTTCTGGATGGTCAAGGACCAGTGATCATTACAATCTATAACAAGACTTTACTTTGGAGACCTCTTTCAAAAATACTGGTAATCAATATTGGAAATTTGCTATTACCAGAAATAGCCCAAGGAAAACGACTACGAATTGACACGGTGTATTGAATAGGTAAATAGGATTATTAACCGATGGTAAATAGACCTGGTATATGAAAGATAAACCATATTTGTTGATCTATTTAGTTTTCCATTTATATTTTGATCTCATAACATTTTATGTATTTAGTAATCTCCATATACAGCATCGCTCATAGCAAATTGACAAATGCGATTTTCCATTTTTATCTCTGGAGAGTCGTCTGGTAACGAAGTGGGTTTTGTTTCTTTTAATCAGCTAACAAAACATAACAAAATTGTGTAGATGCAATTAGTTATTTTTGGAAATATAATCCCAACTTATTTTTTCTGTGGAATTGGAAGGCAAATGAACTGAACATATTTCATGTGTTTAAAGAACACTTCATTTTTCTAGAAATTCACGAGAAGTGGGTAGGGGTAATCAGATGCAATTACGTTCGCGTATTCTTGATTACACATTTACACTGAATTCTAATCTATTTAAGTCTAACTACTCGATCAAATCATGTGTAATTAAGTCTGTATCAGATAGCGCTACATAGGGGGGGGGGGGGGGTCTTGATCATAATTAATACTCAAACATAAGTCTGCATCGGATAATAGGTTGTCGCGTAAATATTGAATGAAATTAGGCTTAACGTTATATTTTTCGGTACCAACCGGGATACGACGTGTCGGTACCAACCGGGATACGACGTGTCGGTACCAACCGGGATACGACGTGTGCTATGAGAGGTAATGCTTTTACGAGCATTGCAAGGTATACACGGGAGATCGGTTTTTCGTCCCAGACGCGGTGTAAATATAGATGATCTTGATGATCATGAGTTTGAACTTACACCACAAGGCTATTCTTTCCAAAAAAAAACCAACAAAAAAAAAAAACAACAACAAAAAAACAAAAACAAAAACAAAACCAACCCATATATAACAAAAATAATTAGCTATGTGAACTACTTCAATGAGAAATGGTATCTGGTGTTCCAGAAAGGGTAAACATCCCTAGAACAACACACATCACTACTTACATGTACATGTATAGCTAAATAAATGGCGTGGCATCAAATTCCGAAACTAGTGGGTAGAAGAAAAGCAATAAATTAGCCCGATTGCAAAGGTCGCCATTTGTATTGATTGAGCAGGCGGATGAAAATATTACTTACACTTAGGTCTGATTCAGTTTCTGTACCGTAGACATTAACTTTACTCAGCATGACCTGTCCACTCGGTATATAAGTATCATCACCACACCATTGTCCTGTCTTGCACAACGTCTCTCGTTTTAGTTGACACATATTACATATCCATTTACCGCGTACACTCTAAAAATAGACGAAACCATATTGATTACAGACCTAACGAGGGATTTATTATTCATGGGCAATTAATAAACGTAACAACAAGACAAATCTTACCGCAGTACACGAGAAACAGAATTCCCAACCTCCAAGAGCCCCTTTCTTATCCACACATTCTAAAACACAAACAATTGATTGCTAATATTACTAGGTTGGGGTTAACTTCCGCAAACATTTATGGTAATATCGCGTAAAAGAATAACTAGAAGGTCTAACGACCCTTTTACAGTGCCTTTTGGTGGCATGAGAGAGAGGGTTATGTCCAAAAAATATTTATTATTTATTCGCTCGGCGTACAGGTAATGTATACTGTGTGTATAAGTTTGTGCTTAATCATCCCTAGAATCTCTATTGTTAATACTGAGTAAATAATGAAATGGGGTTTAACGTTCCACTGTTTTGCACTGATAGCGGCACAGTGTCTTATATCGAATTCCAACTATAACCGTGCTGGTTATAGTAGTTCAGTGTTAGAATTGAAATCTAGAATATTTCAGATAATACTTTAATTTAAAAAAAAGGAAAGTCATCAAATTGAATTCTGTATACATGTAAACTCTAAGGAGCATAATTATTCTATTTCTTCAAACCAGTGTATGTGTGTGTGCTATTGAAAGGTGACTAGCCAAGGATAAAATGTTATGTAATGCTAATGTTAATTCATTATAATCCCTTATTGTTTATAAAAATGTTATAGATAGAAAGTAACTGCCAATATGGCCTGTCTGGTGAACATGCCAATCGTATGATTAATCTATTAATTGTTTTATTTACCATTGTTTTATTTGTTATATTGTAAATTATTACATCAATGCCTGTGTATGTCAAGACTTGATCTAGTCAAGTTATTAGAAGTAATTCCATACAAATATGTGATTGTACTTGATACTTCAGTCTTTTAGGTCTCTCCGACTTAGTAGCATTACGTACTAGTCAGTTATCCGCGGTCCTGGTGTGTATGTACATAATTATTATTATAAGTTTCCAGTATGAAAGATTTGAAGAACCATTCCAGACTCTTGTAATATCTGTATCTGACGGACCTCACGATCACACAACTGTCAATGGTTCTTTTACGTGCACGCCAGTGAGTACACGGTACCTCGGTTTATGCTGAGAGACAATAAGTTATTTTTTAATGTTATAATGTGTTTCTAGAAGAGTTATAAAAAGGTCTAGAGTTACAAGATTTATATTAGGTTTACACGTACATATATCAGCTAAATGTACAAGGGGTGGCTGTACAATGTACAATAATGCGATTTTTTGAACGTAAGAAAATATTTTGGTTCTCTTTCGATATAACTTGTCGATTTTCATATATTTCTTTGTGCGACTGAGATAAAGCAGTTACTGCGCATTTTATGGCTCTGGACCATTTCCGGTGCCCATTGTAAAACCAAGGTGAAAAGCAGTATCTACATATACTCACTAATTGTTTCTGTGATGTACTGACAGTTTACAAACTGCATATTTAAGCATAAATATTGTTACAGAGATTTCCACATTCAGTTGAGTCTAAACACTTGACATAATTGCTCTTTTTCTCCTTAGTTATACCAGGGCAATTTACATTTACTGTCAACACCTCGTCTTGGTGTTCCAAGGAGAACGGCAGTATCTACTCTTACTGTCGTTTACTGGGTTGTCATAGGTGTATTGAGAACGGCAGTATTACACTTACTGCGTTTCTCCTTCGTTATACCAGGACAATTTACATTTACTGCCCAAACTGACACTGTATATTTCTTTGCCTAATTTAGATACAGGAATGAAAATTTTTACATGTGATAGAACAGATACTGCTGATCACAACGATACCAAAAACGTATTTTGACCAAAAGTGTAGATACTGCCTTCTTCCTTTGCACGGCAGTACAGCTCTTGCACAGATAAGCTTAGAACTTTTCATCCAGCTCTGGTAATTCATGCCAAAGAAGCAAGACATCTTTCATATGGGTTAAAAATAAATAGTTTTAATCTCATTGACTCGCAGATAACGTCGACGCCCCTTTAGCTTAGGGGTGGTCAACCTATTGACGATTGCGGCTGGTCCCCGGATTCACTCACTTCTTTTGATATTTCTTGTTTATCTCTTGTAATGTCTGCGTAGTTTGTCTTGTCCGGTTTGTTTGTGTGTAGTGTGGTCCCCCTGCACTTAATATACTAATTACACAAAGACAAGTGTGACTTTGTTTAGTTGTCCTTAATTTGTTCCCGTCCATTACTGAACAAAGTGCATGGTATAACATAGTTTATCGGTAGACCGACGTTGCAGTCACTAAAGATGTTAGGTCATTTGGTAAAGTTTGAAATGTAACACATGAAACTGGTTCTTGGGAGTGTTTAAAAATATTCGCTATTAGTCAATTCTCTGGTTTCCATGGCAACGGTAAAAAATCAAAGATATCGATTGTTAAATCAAAATATTTAAAGGGTGGATATTACTTTGTTCATAGCTCATTTACGCTCTGGTATTTAAATAAAAATAGCATTAGACACAATATTATTTAATAGTGTATGATAACGCAATACAGCACTAATTATATCCGGAGTGTACTTCTACTTTGCATTTGACGTATAGTATATATTGATTCTGTGGATCAGATGCAGAGCTAAATTTATACCATAAAAAAACTGCAGGGATTAAAATCTGTAATAATTTCAAGGTATTTTTTTTTTTTTTTTTTACGTCCAAAAAATATAAATTATTTCCCGAACGGTTTACCATACTAAAATGGGGAGAGCACTCCGAATTTGACGTCGAAGTTGTTTTGACATCCGCCAGCGCGTTGTTTGACGTAGCTTTGTTATCTGATAGGCGTAGTGGTGTCTTTTCCCTAAATATTAGGTAAGTTCTATTGAATTATTGCCTACATGCAAATCGTGCTGTTCAATCTATTAATAACGCAAAATGGCCACATTCAATGGGAGGTGGTTGTAGGCCGTAGGCTTAAAATTGTTTTAAAGATACAATTACTGTAGTATTACAACTACTGGTTTGCTCAACCCAAATAGGCCTACCTATCGCACCTTTGTAATATCAGTTTAAATAATTTACAAATTTCATGACTGAGTCATGGATGCCCATCTTTAACAAATCATGAATAAAATCCGAATATGCCACAGTTCATTTGGCGATCTGTAGCCTACAAGAAGAAAGCCACGAAGAAGACAGACGTTTTCATCTTGCGAATTGTGAATCACTTCACGATTAGCAATGCCTAGGGGTCTGTTTCACGAAATTTTAACTAAAGATAAAATCCAAATTTTAGTAGATGTTTCAATTTTGATTGGCACAGCACTAAAATTCATTTAAATATTATCCAATCAAATTACTAAAATTTGGATTTTATCTTAGTTAAAATTTGGTGAAACAGGCCCCAGAAAGTAGACAATGAAATTTGCGTTTTCTATATCGAATATTTAGTTCATTGGTCTCATTGCGGCTGCGGATCTTGACTTTCGTTTAGATTGTTCCGAGATTGAATACCGGCTTCGGTTGAGAAGAATCTTCGGATTTTTCAAGCCCAAGCTTCAATTGCCAGGGCTTGCTATTGTAGGACTGACAAAAAATGTCTGCCTAGTCGTGTGGATGGGACGAACCATACAGGTCCACTCGTATATATAATGGCGTACATATAAAAGAAACCGTGACAGTTGGCAATCACAGACGTGTAGAAGGAAACGCTGCAGTGCGGGCAAAATTCTCCTAACTCGCGCCGAAATGTTAAAATCCCCATCCAATTGAGTGGTCTAATTATTGTAGGCTAGGCCTACGTTTACGTGTAGGCCTACATTAGTTAAATGGGCAAACCATATTTTATATAGGTCGAAAGAAATACTCCCGTTTCATTGAACTGAATGTTTTGATTTGGTTTTTAACATGAAAACCGTTCTTTGTTTAAAACTATTTACGACATAATCTAATGTTGAGATATGTCTATATTTGACTTAAAGATACATTATGGGAGATAAGATAAAGAGATGGCAGTTCTCGCTATAATAGTTAAAAACTAGATAGTGTAAAGGTAATTTGCTGAAAATTTCAGTCAAATTGATCCACTATGAGCCGAGAAAGAAGCGGGTGAAATTTTGCATAGTCTCGGTCATCATTACTAAAATCATTAATATAAACAGCATAGTCTCGATTATCCGCTTTTATTGATTTAATTATCAATAGCCGTTAGCGGCATATAGGAATCTAATCCAGCCAACATCGAAGGCTAGCCTTGACATCGAGAGTTGATTATGGTCTGGATAAGTTAATTAATGTCTAATTGATAATTTAGATAACATTTCAGGCCTAAAGAAAGACTTGCAATAAGCAAATTTTGCTCTTGCATAATGCATGTTTAAATAACAGATCTTGTCACGTTAGCTTCTCCTATAGATTTTACGTATATAAGATGATTTCTACTTTTAATTAATCTCGCGTGACAGCTGATATCCATATACTTCGCCTGTCTAATTTCAAATCCCCACGGTCTACCTATAAGAAAATAATGACTACCTGGTTTTGTTTTGTCAACGGTTTTGTATTTAAAAACTAGTATGCATCGTAACAGTAATTAATGGTATCTATGTGATATGACGTAGATGGAAGAGGGCGCTAATATCACAGCTGGTACTGGTTGGCCTACCAACACTCGTGACTAATGGTGAGATAGGTACCACTGTTTCATATCCTCAATAAATAAATGCCTGTAGCTTGGTAATTAAAGTCAAAACTGTTCACTATATGTAGTAAAAGCAACGGATTTTAAAATCATTTTTCTCAAGGATTATGTAAATGTTTCATGGAGACTGGACATATTCGGTTGCTTTATCAGTGTAGTGGAATACACTACCCCTAATTATAAATGTAAATCCAGTAACATCTTTCAAATCAGTCAACAGGATACCGTAGTCCTCTTGTGAATGTCCTAACTTTGAAAACATATATTTTTGCTGTTAATGTGTGATTTTCTATTGCACGTTGTGACATACAAGACTGTTAAGAATGGTTGCATAAAAGCAATAAGCTGTGTAAAATGAACATCACAGCTGGTGTTTTTAAAACGTAGCGACTGCACAGGTGTAATCAACAAAATGAGCTACACTCAAAAAGTTTATCCGTTGTTTTTAAAACGCAACTTCAAGATTTACGGGAGCCACGGTGGCTCAGTGAGTATGGCGCCGATCCTCCAGCTCCCCCTTAGGTGCGGTATATGACGGACGGCAGGCAAGGAAAGGCGTCTATTCATGCCAAACAAAATTAAAGAGGGATATTGAAATTGGCCCCGTTCGTACCCCCGTCCCGATTTACTTCCGGACTATATCTCACAACTGTTCAAGATAATGTCTTTATAAAAACTTCACAAATACCGTGAAAGTAGTTGCGCATTTTGATAATTCGAAATTTCTTGGATTTGATAATTTTGATGTTTTCATGTGACCAATTTTTTTATATACACGGTCGCGGGATGTTGATGACCGAGTCTTCTTCTTATTATTAACTCAGAAAATCTTCCGCACGCTTAATGGTAATCCAATAACGTTCTTACAATATGACATTCGCTCTATTCATTTCCTATAATTATGCCAGAACAAAACCTTATACACAATAAAGAAAGTTTGATCATCCAATTACTCAACATGAATTGAAAATCAACTTTAAAAATATATCAGATGTTGAATGGAGTATAACGTCAAGAATGAATCAAAACGAACTTAAAGATGCATTACACTCACTAACAAATGCTTTGTGTAAGATTTAGATAAAGACCAGGGTCCTGTTTCACGAAATTTTAACTAAAGATAAAATCCAAATTTTAGTAGATACTTCAATTTTGATTGGCTAAGCACTACAATCAGTCTAATATTATCCAATCAAATTACTAAAATTTGGATTTTATCTTAGCTAAAATTTCGTAAAACAGGCCCCTGGCCGTTCAGAATTGATACGACTGACTGGGGTTCGTAAATTGATCGACCTTTAGCTCTTACATAAAGGAGTGAAGTCGCTAACTCAATAACATCCACAGTTTTCGACATTGATTGCAAACAGGACATATTGGTCAATTTAAATCAACATTAATGTTGTTATCTTACCGTGAAAAGTTGGGCTTCTGATATCTAATATTTAAGACAAAATGAACATTTTAAAATTGGCACGCGAATTGTGTGCCAGAATGCTTTCGAGCGCCAGTTGTACGAAGCGACTCGATGAACGAGACTAAACATATCCCATTTAGGAGACTACTACCGGGGTATACTGGAATAACCAGACGCCAAAGACTGCCATTCACTTCCGAATTTTCGAGTATTTCGCCGAACATAGCTGATTAGAAATTACAGTAAAAACAGATACTATTGAACGTAAATCAGTTTATGTACATTCATATTACATTATTACATGCGTTGCGAACCATTTGTGCTCATTTTCAGGTGCCAAAGAATAGAATAGCGATTTGTATAGCTATCAATGTTTAAAAAATGTCTTTACCTTATTTTTCTTGACGTTCCATCTTGGTCTTGCAAAAGAACCACATCTTGTACATACACGTTTATGACAGTCGTAACACAATCTACCAATACCATCAGCAAATTTAGTTTTATAACATAATCTACACAGTCTCAAATCCACGTGTTTTAATTTTTTCTTCGTCTCAGCTTGTGCTCGTATAGTTTCCTCATACTTCTCCAGCTCTTTTCTAATTCGTCTGTTTAAATTAAAAGATGACACAGGATTTTAGCCACGGATATTCAATATGAAGCAAATTTAAGAGACAAATCTACATGGATGTATTCAATATGAAGAAATTTTAAGGGATAGATCTGCCATTAATGCACCACTGATCGTCATTTTGGGTATTTAGAATCCCTTGCAGACCACTATACCGAATCTCTAAAAGAAATGTTCAAAAGAGGTTGTATTCCGTTTAGTATTTACACAGATACGCGAATAAAAAACACGCGGCGTCCTCTACAGACGCTCTAAATAAACCAGCGCCATCAATTAGGGTTTGAAAAATATTTTGATTTTTTTTTTTTTTTTGATTTTTTTTTGTAAACAATATTTTATTTCAAAATTATTAAAAGGTACCAGGGAACAGGCATAGCCTTTATCACACCTCTCCTCATACAAAGAATGTAAAACATATAATATACAGATCTGCTATGTACATATTATAAAATAATGGTGGAAATTATATAAATTAAATAAGTTATATACACACACTATTTATAACAAATGTTAATAAAAAAAGAGGAAGTGCTGTTTTATAAGCTGATTAAAATTGTTCTATGAATAAAATCCGATATTGAAGCTTCATGTATTCATGTACTTTTTTTAAAGATTATATTAGCTGTAGCCTGATTATCTATGCCAAAAAGAAGTGATTTAATTGCTGGTGTGATGGTAAAAGATTTATTGTGTTTTGTCGTGCATCTGAATAAAGTGGGCACCAGCGGAGAAAATGTTCAGAATATTTTGATGGTCCTCTTTAATCAATACAAACGTAGATATACTTGCTTTGTTTTCTTAATTAAATGTTAAATAATCAATTTGAGTACATTCGAGCGTTGATCAAATGGACATTATGTAAGATTAGATACAGAGCTGGCAGTTCTCGCTATATAAATAGTTAAAATATAGATAATAAAACGGACTTTGTTGAGAATTTCAGTCCAATTACTTCACTCTGAGTCGAATTGTCCTCGTTACAATAACACTAGCCTTGACTGTCAATACTACCGTTGTTACGATAATAAACAAAGTCTCGATTATCCATTTCTACGATAAATCATCAACCGCAGATCGGATTTAAATCTATTGAAAATCTAAACTATACGGTGGCATCAAGAGTTGATTATACTCGTGGTAAGTTAATTAATGTCTAATTAATAATTTACATGACATTTAAGGCCTAAAGAAAGACCTACAATAGACAGATTTAGCTCTTACATAATGCCTGTTTAAGCTGTTAAAAATCAGATATATACCGAACATAGCAAATGACGATCAGAGGCTTTAATAGTATAAGAAATACATAATAAGAAATAATAAAATTTCGTATTCTCAATTTAAAACCAATGTGGAAAATTATCAAACAAAGCATATTTTTAACTGTGTAAATTTTAAATACTATTTAGAAGTGATATAAAATGTTCTAGAATAAGTAACTATATTTTATCAGTTGCACAGACACCGAAAGATTTTAGTTACATTTTTAAATAGAAAACGAATGCCATCAAAAAATGCTGTTCATTGAGTGGGTCTAAGAGAAAAAGAAAAAAAAAACGTTTACTTACTCAATACGTTGTATTTCAGCTTGTTCAAACTCTTTTTGCCTACGGAATACTTCGTTAAGAGTCTGTAGTTCTCCAGCATTTAAACCGGACAGGTCTGGTGATGGCGGACCATGCGATTGTGTACTTGACGACGTTGGTTTTCCTAGAGTGTGCTTTATACCCAACCCTCCAAACACCTACAATATAAGGTGTGCAAAGAGAATTGTCTTAAGGATCTTAAGGAAATTAGTGATTCCTGTGAAGCAGAAAATACACTTTACTTTAAAAGTCTTAACAGCGTGTAATTAAAAAAACAAAAGTAATCTCCGTTCACAGTTTGCCCAGTATATATATTAAGCAGCAAAAGAAACGCCAGGTTGGTATGTTACTCTGAATAGACGCATTGCATAAAACTTGCCAAATGTTTTATTGTATATTTGTGACCACATCTCTTACTTTACCTGAGCATTAAGGCTCCTTCCCAAACACAGAATTGAACACAGGAAATGTTATCAAAAACGCAACCTAGCTTCTGAAATGGTAATGTGTTCTTCATGATTTGCATGTAACTCATGCTGCTCGTGCTGTTTACCGGGTCCAGCCCTATAAAATGCACCCTCATACCTGGTTGAATCATTCATACTACAACGTCAGCTGCATGCCACGACTCACGACAGCTCAGGGGAACCAGGGGATTGGAAGACTCGACGCTGGCCACACTGCCCAAACCGTTGCCAATCACTTCCAGATCAATGTTCGGACCATCTACAGGCTTCAGCTATCAACTGCAGATTGCAGGGCCAGAATATGGCATTGACGTGGCCAGCGTTATTCTGACCAGTGTGTCATGGAAAGAGACTCATGGGGAGGTCCAAGCATTCTGGGTTGGGTGGAATCGGCCTAAACCAGAGTGTGGGTGGTCCTGTGGTGTTCCAAAATCTTGGTCCAGGGAGAGGAGGTGGCATCACAGCAGTGCGCTACTTCGATCAAGCTCTCAGACCCCACGTCATACCACATTTCGAACGCGTCACCGAAACAACGTTTTCCAGCATGACAACGCCCGTGCCCACACCGCCAGAGTTACTCGGACTTTCTACAGCAGAAGGGTGTCAACGTTATGCATTGGCCAGCCCTTAGTCAGGACTTAAACCCGATTTAACATTTTTAGGATGAAATTCAGAGGAGACATAATAACGCCGATGGATTACGCCAGGCATTTTCTGAGAGTGCGGTTCCAGTTGCAAATGGCGTTTATCAATCGTCTTGTCCACTCCATGTACAGACGCCGCGCAGCTGTTATTGACACTCGCGGTGGGCACACCAGATACTGATGTATAGACTGTGTACAGACTCTAAACCTTCTCGTAATGTCTTGGAATTGTGATGAATTAATCACTAATGTGTCAATATACTGTTCACAAAAATTGCTTTGATCCATTTAGTAAGTCGTTTTCTAGAATGATTTGATTAAAGTGCCTCTCTGATTTTGAAATCGTACTGACGTTTCTTTTGTTGTTTAGTATATAATGTAAAGTCAAAGTGTTCGAAGTTCATCGTGACACAAGGAAAACAAATAACACTGAAATGGAAAATATTATTATTATTCTCAGTAAAAGAAGATTAACAGATTGAAGCATGTTGTCCGCTTCATCTAATATAGTTTATAATCTTTTCCTTGAACTAAACTAATTTGCGTGACTTGTGTATTAAAACGAAAGATAATATTTCATGCAATTCGAATATTAATTAATCTGCAAAAGCAGAATATATAATTCGCTGCATATTCTGATAATACCCTGGGTGTAAGAATATGATCCATGACGTTCAGGTACCGCCCTATTGAATCGTTGTCGAAAACATTTAGTCCCCCAGTCAATTTTACTGGACAACTTTTTACTGCTAAACGGGTGTCAGTCCCTGTGAACGCATATACAATGTAAAGGAACATTTTAGTGAGAAAAGAAGACCTTGCTTACCCCGCTAGAGTCAGTATGAGCGAGGTGAAAGGATTAATCGGACCATTTGAAAGTAAAGGAGTTACTCCAAGAAGTAACTTAATAAAGGTCGGGTGATAAACTTAGTTTGTAGAGTGTTCACGAGAGAGAAAGAGAGAGAGAGAGAGAGAGAGAGAGAGATGAATGGGGTTTAACGTCCACTCGACACAAACTAGGTCACTTCGTCACTAACATATGGTTCAATTTGATTTCAACAAATAGGGGTCTTTAGCAGAGGGAGGACACCCCGGAGGGCCGGGAGAAAACCCACTAGGTTGAATAGGCGACTCTACTCCTTGTCACGTACAACCGGGGAATCGAAACCACGCCAGTTGACTCATTGACAGACCTTATGATACAACAATTCGCCCCCCCCCCCTCCCCCGGGGTTCACAAGAAATCGCGGACGTCTCAAAATTGACAGTCGGCTGGGCTGGTGCGACGACAATATACGAGCACACTTCAATGTGAGTGTGTAAAATCTGTTATATCTTGTATCTATTAACGGCACATTATGATGCGTATCTTCTTTCTAAAAGCTCGATATACAGAGATACATGATTCATCCCTTCGAATACACAAACACAACCCATTATAATATAATGAGATATCCGATAAAAGAAGATAATGGGGTATGTATTTTTTGATACAAAATGAGCTACATCTTTTACCTTCTATAACAAGATTTATTATATACAATTTTCAAAAATCAATACATGTTTCCTATTCTGAAGAGTATATTTTGAAATCTGGTAATTTTTATCAATAGCGTTGTCAGTATTTTCAATACTATTAATTTTGACAAATCGGCGTAACGTCACGAGCTTTTAAAATACCGCATTGAACCGATTTCTGAACAAACTACCTTTTCAAATTACATTCAGATATTTTGCATACATACTGTGATAATGGTAAAGTATAGATGCGTTTCATTAAAAAAGAGAAAAAGTAGCAAAATATATCCCAGACTATTACTTCAGTACTATAATCGATCATGGTCTGTCTGCATAACAAAACCCAGATTTTTGCAATGTGTGCAACAAGCACAGATCGGGATCATTATAATCTCTATATAAATTGTCAAAATAGGCTGATAACTTTTTGAGTGAGTAAGACGTTGGCTCGCTAACCTGGAGATCCTGTATTCGCTCCTGGTGTTGGCCGAGAAAGTTCATCAAGATTTTTCGGCGTTGGTTCCTCCTTGTTTGTGGTTCAGGACAGAGGACCCGGTAATCTACAACGCATAGTCGCCCAGATGGGACGAACACCCAAGGTCCCGTGTACATATTGGCGTACACGTAAAATATCCCTTGACAGTTGGAATTCTATAAGAGTAGGGCAGCTGTTCGGGCAAAATTTCCCTCATAGTACATTGTATGGCGTATGCCCGTCTTCATTTGCCCAGTCTGAGCAGAACAATAGGACGTTAAATTACATTTCATTTCATTTAAATTGATATATTACATGTAAAATGCCGACTGAACCCCTTAAATATAGTTTAGATACCAAATTTGGAGAAAAATCAATAGAATAATCTATCTGTACAATACTATATATGAAAGACAGGATAAAGGACAGGCTATAGTTATTTTTATATTGAAATAATGACTTTCTAATAACGGACAAGTTAATAATAGTCCGGGGGACAATTAGAATCTGTCTACTAGACTCCTAATAGCCATCTTTAATACAAACTATATTGAAATAGACATCTGTCAAAATAACTCAGAACTGTTTTTTTTTCCTTAAAATGCCAAAGATTTGCTTCTAAAAGAACAATAAGCCAGCGTTTCGTAACAGCTGCCATACATCATTACTATGTCCCCAAGGCTATTAAAATCCACCGGGAAATGACCTTTGACCTATTCATTGACAAATTTTAAATAAAAACGCTCCTATGTATTGCTTTAATTGTTGATAAACGAGGGAACATGAATTTCTATAGAATGAGCAAGAGACCGATCGCCTGGTCTCCTTTGAATACCGGGAGCCGCGGTGGCTCAGTGAGCAAGACGTTGTTGGCTCGCTAACCAAGAGGTCTCGTGTTCGATCCCAATCTTGGTCGAGAACTATCATCGGGATTTCCGGCGTGGTTCCTCCGTATCTGGAGAGATAGCCTAAAAAGGGACAACGTTTAGTTGCCAACCTTACTAACACGATAGAGGCCTCCGTTTACATGCCCGGAGTTACATGCCCTTTTCTGAAAACCTTGCTAACGCGATAGATTATTTGGTGTGAAATTTGACGTGAAGCACTGGGATCGGAGAGGGTGAACTCTGTTGAACACTCTAGGAGAATTCATGGACTATAAAAATAATTTAGTATCATGCAAACATACTGATACATTTGTTTGAAATAAAATTAGAATAAAAATCTAAATTTATGATATATTTATCATGTATATTGGTATATATATTTGTCGTGTATATTGGTATATTGATAAAACTACTGGAAAATCGTTAGACCGTTATTTAATCTCGTCTCACTTGGAGTAGGATATTTATGTATATGCTATGGCCGAAGGTGTTTATTTCTAAGAATAAAATGGAAACAATTGTTGACGTGGTGCCAGTAATCGAGATATATATAATATATATATATATATAACAGTTGGGAACATTCCTAATCATGTTTAAGTGAGTATAACATTGTAAAGACAAGTTTCTAAAAGTGACTCATTGTCTTCGTTATCATTCATTATATCAGCTTACTAGAATACCAAATGTCTTCTTTTATGTCTGTATTAACTCCTGGGGTTTGTAACAAATCTCAGTTCTTGTCATTTAAACGAGGACAAATTGTTTCCTTCTTATATTAGCGGACTGGGCAGCACTGAGCACGCAGGCCAACCGGTTTCCTTAGGCCTTCATCGTGGTGTAGAATAGGTGACAAGATGAGAAAAAAAAGCACTCTTCACGCATAAACCATTTTCTCCTCAGGACATTATATTTCTTTGATTTTGAAATTTATTTTCAATTGGAACACGTGGATCCATGACCCTCACTGGGCCCTCGGACACCGCCAGATTTTAAAACAACATCAATAAAAAAGAATCCAATGAACGAATTCGCAAACTTACCTTCTTCATTATGGACGCCATGTTGACATTTAGTAGACATTTCTTTTACATAGTCGTTTTTCCACTTTCAAAATTCATATTCTGATATCTGGAACAAAATAACAAATTGTCACTCTAGTTTTCTTGTAACTTAAAAAAGCACCAAGACTTAAAAAAGGAGTCACAGTGGCTCAGTGAGTAAGACGTTGATTCACTCACCTGGAGGTTCCGTGTTCGATACCGTTTTGACCTAGAAAGTTTATCGGTTTTTTTCCGGCGTGGTTCCCCCTTGTCAGTGGCGCACAACAAAGGGATAAACTATAGTCGTTCGGATGGGACGTAAACATAGACAAAATCCTTGACAGTTGGAATTTGGATTTAAGAATAGGCCATAGTACCGCTGTCCGGGTAAAATTATTGTCCTCATAGCACACTGTGGCGTATGTCCGTCTTCTTTATCTATATCGGTGCAGAATAGTATAACGTTAAAGGGACAATAACACTCTTGCTGGCTTGACAGTTCCAGAAAATAAAAAATAGCCTTATTCTAAGTACTAGATGTGTTAGTGTCCTACCTGTTGTGTAAATTATCCATTAAATCCTATTTTACTTGTCCAGAAATATCTTTAATATCAAAAATATCTTTAAATCCAAGTCTTTTCAAATCATTTAGTTGAATTTGTCCAATTTTTTAAATTAGGTGTGTTAAGATGAAATTTGTATCATCAATTAAGTGGAATATTGTAAAATAGTACAATTTGTTGACCAGAATAAAGATTGGGACATATTATTCAGTTACAACAAGAGTGGTATTTAGCTTAAACCCCGTTTGATTTCATTTTAAAATTGTGTGCGCTCACCCCGTCGGCAAACTTGCATACGTCACTGAACATGCGTATTGCACGTCCTTAATATCTGTAAGACTTCTCGGCAGGTTTGTCATTAATGGTTATTCTGTCCTGTTCAATCATAAAAGAGAATAGACTCGCTATCACCCAAAGATTATCCTTAAATCATAACTCAAATCTAATGCGACCTTTGCCTCTCATTAATGGCATGATTAGCCCGTAAGCTAATAGCGATTCATATATTCCGAATTACCCAAGCACTAAAGAGGCCATTGTTATGGCAAGAAAGCAACAATTACTGTTGAAAAATCTGTTGGCTGTAAAGTAACTGGTACGTTTGATTCTGAAACAATTTCGAAAGCCAAAATACGTGACCTATTTGAATTGTTTAATGGCCAAATCTGGCGGTTTCAGTTATAGAGAGAGAGAGAGAAATGGGGTTTAACGTCCACTCGACACAAACTAGGTCATTTCGGGACTAACATATGATTTAATTTTATGCGCGTAGGGGTCTTTAGCAGTGGGAGGAAACCGGAGGACCCGGAGAAAACCCACGAGGTTGGACAGGCGACCCTACTCCTTGTCACGTACAACCGGGGATTTGAAACCACGCCAGTCGACTCAATGACAGACTGTATGATACAGCGCGCGCACGCTAACCATTCAGCCATCCAACCCCCCTGGTTTCAGTTATGGTATTGGTCTAGTTTAAATCATGAGTATATTGTTTTTATGCATGATGTACGTTCAGAGCTCGGCTAACTAGATAGTATTTATCAAGTCGCAGTATGTAGCCGTTCTCAATCGCTAGATTTGCTAAACGGTGTTATGTTATTCATTAAAGGAATTTCATTCTTAAATTGTAGGAGTGACTTGACCATCTCGACGGCCACTTACCACCATAAGTTGAACACAGTTCGGTAATTCTATACTCGGGGTTATCCAGGCACTTACAAAGAGTGGAATGACCTAGTATACAGGTCTGCATGAGTCTTCTACTACACTCGTCACAGAAATATCATAATATGATCGCTTATCGTTACACCTGAAGTAGCTACCCTGGTTACCGGTAAGCTCAAGGATAAGGTTCGTGTCAACATCTATAAATCAGTGGTACCCAAAATGGCTCATTAAGGATATGATGAGACGCGCGACGGCAATATTATTCGACCACATTAGATTGGCTTATGAGGAAAATGCACAGTTAAAAGAGCAAGTCAATTTACACTCGCTCGGGTGGTAACTAACTTGCCACTTTCACTACTGGAACTTGTCGGGCCCTGGGTCCTGCACCACTGACTAAAGGAACGAATCCCTTCTGGTTAATAAGAACCTTACTTACTGAGTCACCGCTACCCCATAAATCTGTGCTGATTTAGTTGATTGTGCAGTGGCCATTTTGTTTTAAAAAAATAAACACCAGCTGTGATTTATATTTGACACCACTTACAGTTTTTAATACCACTTATTCTTAATAGTGTTGTATTTCACATCGTGCAATTGATATAAAGGAAATAAACTGGGAAGTAAACACTAGATCACATGTTGATGTCAACCTGTTAAAATCAGTATCTATAAATCAATTGTGTTACAGCAGCCATTATCATTTAATCAAAATAACAGCCTTGTTTTGATAAGTTGATAATCAAGATTAAAGATAAAGAAAAAAAATATCACGATAAAAAAAAAGAATCTTTTGAACGAATTCGCAAAGAGCTCCCCAAAACAAATGAGCAATAACAGTCGGGTGTAAAGGATAAACTCTGTATATTAAAATAGGTTCTAAATGCACAACCCGGAAATAAAATCATTTCTACTTTAATTAGCCAATCAAATCACCGATAGTGACGTTGTGTAAGGGACTGCAAGTCATTGTTTATAAACATAATTTTGTTTAAATAAGTAGTGACTGACGGTTAATTTCATGACGTCATGAATTTAAGCCGAAATGATTTATACCTGTTTTATTTAGACCAATTGTAACATACGCCGATTGGGAATGAAATCAGATTTTTATGGTTTCTATCAGTGTTATAAGCCGTTGGGATTAGTCAAAATTGTGATCTTGTTAAAACGTCCAAAAGGAAATAAAGCCGGACATGACCTCGGGGTAACAATTTGTTTTTGGTACAGTACGAGTCCATTGCTCGGTTGGTTCTAGCTTGCTAATGCTAGGTTCCCATTGTCGTACTATGGGTTACGATATGATTGCTCCCATTGAGTCCACGTTCGGATACGTTTCGATACGATCAACACGATTGCCGCGACTGACCTCAATATATGATAAGACCTGATAGGATTACCACGATTACTCCAAGATTAAAACCACGATTTCAATCGTAGCAGGAATAGTGATAGTGGGAACCTAGCAGGCGTCATTTTGTGCGTAATCTTACAGCCTTTTACCTAACACGGTTTCCTGATTTTGAAAAGAAACGTAAAATTTGTATTTTAAGACGACGCCATTATTATCTTGGGCAATTAGTCTTAATTCATTTTAGCACGAACATGTTGATATAGGTTGACTTTGGGATACGTAAAATGTATTTATTCCATCTCTTTTCAAATTACATTTTTTCTTAGTAACTGAAGAATATAATTACGAAGCATTACAAAATACATAGTAGCCTTACAAATAACGGTCTCTGTATTATCTCCAATATGAAGATTATTCATCAAAGTTCAAAAGGTCATTCCCAGTAACACGAGCACTATTCCATTCACAGTTGAAGATACTGTTATTAATCCGCGCAGTAAATTGCCCCACCCCGCCCCCTTGAGTCACCCCCAGACTTCATTTATTTTACTAGACACGCCAAAGAACACACTTGATCAATCGACAAACTTGCACCGAACATGCGTATCGCACGTCCTTAATATCTGTAAGACTTCTCAGTAGGTTTTACATTAATGGTTACTGTGTTCTTTTCAGTCATCCCCCAAAGATTACCCTCGAGTCATACCTTTGCTGCTTATTAATGACATGATTAGCCCGTAAGCTGATAACGATTCATATATTCCGAAATATCAAGGCACTAAGGAGGTCATCGATATGGCAAGAAAACACCAATTACTGTTGAAAAATATGTTGGCTGTAACGTAACTGGTACGTTTGATTCTATAACAATTTCGAAAGTCAAGATACATGACCTATTTGAATTGCTTTATGACCAAATCTGGCCACGTTAGTGCATTAGTCTTAGTCTAAAACATAAGTACTGTTTTGATGCTTAGTGTACGTTCAAAGCCAAGCTGACTAGATAATATTTATGTAACCGTTTAGATGGCACAAAAACCGAGTTTTCATGTAGGGTTATACGGAAACTTCAATGACTTGTAGCCGTTCTCTTAATACGATGGTTCATCGGGATTTTCCGGCGTGGTTTCACCTTGTCAGTAATGCTGGACGTAGGGCCTGACGAAAACCGAGTTCCCGTGTACACATTAGCGTATACGTAAAAGATCACTTGCCAGTTGGAATTCGATGTAAGCGTAGACCGTAGTGCCGTTGTCCGGGCACAATTTCCTTCATACCACACTGTAAGGCGTATGCCCATCTTCATTAGTCCAGTCGGAGCAGGTCTTCATTAGCCCAGGCGGAGTAGAGCAGTAGGACGTTAAACCCCATTTCATTTCATTCCTTAATAAGATGTTAGTTTAAAAACAACCGTTTAAACAGAAACAGTGTGTGTGAAAAATATACAAAGGAAGATTTCTAAAGGACCAGAAAATTCTTCAGTTTTTGAAATTTTTCTCAATGATCTATTCAATTGAGAAGACAATGCTGTTGTGTTCTATAGCACACAGTCATAATCAACTGAAAAAAACGCTATTATATCCTCCTAATAAACTATTCATTGTACATTTCGCATGTAAATTACAACAGAATATCAAAACCAATATCATGTACATACCTTAAGGTTTTAGAATTACATTCTTAAATCCGCACAGTGTAGATGCAACACTTAAAATAAAACATATATACATACAAATGCTACACGCACTATTCCACTTAACCAAACTGGTAAATAATCCACTATTTTTGTTCGCTGTAAGCCTGACACTACATGAGTGAATCTCAGTTCATTTTATGAAGGTGCGATCAACAACAGTTTAGATCGCAGTCCAGGCTGTAAAGTAAATTAACGCCATCAATTCCAATTAGCCATATTATTTGTGATAAATACGACAATTGACACAGCATAGAAAAAGCTCTGTAATAACGCCAGTGTCATGACTACAAAAGCAAATGGTTGGAACT